CCCCCCCCCTTATTGAATTCAAATAGTTGTATCCTAGACCGAGTGGATGGATCGTGTGTGTTTGTGTGTCATGGGATCAGAAAAGGAGAGCTTGTTTCTGGAGCTCTGCGATGTGGTGTGATCACACTCTTGTGGCAGCAAGATGTTACTACATTAACAGTGCTCTGCAATCATAAACAAGGCATCAAATACTCCCATATAGAAGTTCCGTTACACTACAGAAATTTAATTACAATGGTAATACACTTAATGGAATGAAAATCTATGAAAAGGGAAGGTACGTTACAAACTCATCGTCAAACCTTAACAAGCAATCATTGACATAAGTACAGGCAAAAATAGCTTCAAACAGAATACAGAAGTGTTTCCAGAGTGAGTTATAGTTAGCACATAGATATAGATTAAAATAGAGTCAGATTAAAGTCTTAATGGAGACCAATTACTAAACACTGGGTTGAATGTGGTTTTACAGTCCTTTCTCCTCTCTGTCCTCAGATTGTGCAATAATTCGCACCGTTATGTCAACTGACTTCTATCACCAAACACTACACATGAATGCTCAAACTGAGGTCCATGTTTTATATGGGTTTATTATTTAATGATCTAGCAGTGTGTGGAAACTATGGCTCGAGGGATATTGTGATTATCTCCTTATATGGGTCATAATATTTACACTTGGCCTAATTCAGTAAACAAGATCACTTCGCATTATAACGCTAATGCGATCTGTGCACGTTTATTTACCGCGTACCACGTTAAACACGTTTAAACTACATTTCCCAGCGGCAAGCGTGTCGCGTGGTCGTCATACACCGTACGAGATCTCGCGCGATGTACGGACTGACCCTGCCCTATGTCTCGCGCACTCGCAGCTCCATGCTCAGTATATAAAGCAGGACAACGACGGAAGGAGGACGGCTGGGAGTCGCAGCCCGGGATTGTAAATAAGACCGTTAAAACTGTGTTTTATTTACAAAAGTAATGCCGGCTGTTTTAAGAGACCGTTCCCAGTTGTTTTAAGTCGTTTTTTGTAATTTTTTGGCTCTATTTCTCGCCTATTTCCGTGTGGTTTTTACACTACGCGTATAATGGCGAGCTCGGCTAACTCGAACCCAGTGGTAAGGATCAATCTCTAAGGATTGTCAGCGGGGAAATGGGGGTTAAGATAAGAGAACGCTGTCAACGAGCTGTTTTTTTTTTTTTTATCATTCAGTAAAATGAATGGGCTTTAACAAACACTTCACTGTTCTATCAAATAAAATGAAGACTAACTTCAGTCAATCGGCCATTTTAATCATTCTTCGAAACTGAGGTTAGATTGTTCTTCAGATGAAGCCGTCTGGTGGAGCGATGGCTAATGCAAGGAGCTGTAACGTTACAGAGTCAAGATGGTGCTGGAAGGTTAGGGTTGGATGAAAATGCAAAAGTTGATTTATGGGCCATTTGTCCAGTCGAGGCTTTCGTGAGTTGGCCGTTAACGTGAGTTAGTTCATAAGAGTATCTCTAAAATCATATGTATGGCTCAATTAATTGGAGTTGATACTGATTCTCTGGATTTGATGTCTGTGCTGTTTCGTTGAGGTCAAAGCAATGCTTGTGTCGATCAGTCTGACATCAACGGACAAGTCGGTAACGTTAAATGAGCTAAATAGTTTATTTTGCCTAATTTACTATATGCCGATGTTCGCAAAGCACCTCGCCACCATCCACTGCGAATGAATTATGCTTTTTCTTTTGATTAAAGTCTCCTTAGCCGAAAACCGCCAAAGCTCAGTCTAATGCCTCCTCATTGTCCACCATTCCACGACCAGCAGCCAGGATAGCCGTCCCAAACCACCACTTGTACCCATCTCATAACAAAGTAGTCCAGCGACACGGACATACTACTTGGTCAAAGCCGAGCAGCCATAAGATAACACACCGAAAACATCCTAGCATTCCGCCACATAATGTTTAATGTACGGGGCTGTCGGGCGCGCGTTTCGCCGCTCCGTAAAATGGCTTCCACGTCTCCCCTCGCTCCGGATCTGGCCCTCCTCTTTTCTGCCGCCTGGTTTTATACGGCCATATTGGCTCTCTAATATAGACTGGCCGGGATGGGAAGGTGCTATTCGACGCTACGTCACCGCCTCTACATATAAACGGCAGAGTATGCTTTAAATGGTGGAGGAGCAGCCGGGCCGAGGGGGAGGAAGGAGAGACCGAGGTCCGTGCTGCGGACATTAGGGACGATGCAGTTCAGTGAACGCAGTGCGGTGTGCTGTCTGTGTCTGTCGCGGAGGCTTCCATTGTTGTGTCGCTTTCCTAACGAGCGGAAATGCGACTGTTGTGTCGCTGTAGACATTTAAACGGTTTACATGCACTATAGTTAGCGCGCGCAAGGTATGCTACATTATCCCGAGGGACACACTGAATACTGTTGGTGGTGACAGATGGACATGTAGCCTACAGACCAATACATACATACTGTATCTATAATAGACGCATTTTAGCTAAAGCCCAGCTTTTATTTCCATGGACCAATTTTAGAATTGAGTTAAATATTTGAAACAGATATACACCGGCTATTACTTTATTATAACCTACTAATTTATACTTATCTGGCGAGGGGAAGCTGAATGTATATCCACATGGTTTGTTAGACATTTAATGTTCTGCTGCTGTCATGGCAGCTGTGCAGCACTATTAGTAACTGATGTGTTCCTATTAAACATTTCTGAATACCAATGCCATATAGTCAATGTAAAAGTAGGCCCTAAATGGTAACTTTGATCATCAGATATGTTTGTTTCCTTACCAAACACAGTGATGAAAACAAGTGTCTTTCCTGTTTCTGTTCTTGCCTCCTCATAGCCTAAACTATATAAGTCTGTGATTGAGGATGTGATCAATGAGGTGCGAGAGCTGTTCCTGGATGAGGGAGTGGATGAGCAGGTGCTTCTGGAGCTGAAAACGGTAACTGCCCCCCCTGTACAGTAATGAAGTATATGCATATTGTGAATGCCCTGGGTGCATTTATGCTCTTAATAAAAATGGGAAATCACAAAGTATTATTAAATCTCACATTCTTTTTCTTTGGCCTGATGCTCCAGCTGTGGGAAAACAAACTGTTGCAGTCCAAGGCAGTGGAGGGCTTCCATACTGAGGAGCAGGCAGCCCTGCAGGCCGCTCAGCAGCAGCAGCAGGTTCAGCAGCAGGTTCAGCAGGTCCAACACGTCCAACACGTCCAGCACGTCCAGCACGTCCAGCAGGTGACCCAGCCAGCACAGGCCCAGCAAGTCATTCTGCCCCCTCAGCAGCAGCAAGGTTGGTCGGCACTGCCACACTGCACTAGTAAACAACAACTAGCTCTAAATGCTACAGCAGAATTATCTAATATCTGTGAATGCTCTCTCTACACAAAGTCCTATACTGACTTCCTACTGAAATGAAGTGGTTTGGGAGAGAATTCCTCTATTAAAAGGCATTTTTGACAGAAGTTGATATACAAAAAGTTTAGTTATTATACTACCAGAGTATTTTTTAACCTTTTTAAAACTGCACATGGTAACTCAAATAAAAGTAACTGTTTGGGTTATTTGCTCAAACTGTCACTATATCCTGACAGTAGTACACAAGTAGTACAAGAGACAGAAACACTCGGGTTCCTCTGCCTCCCTTTAGTGGTCCTGATGCCGTAAGAATCCACCAAAACAACCAATCGCAGCTGTCAAGCTCTGTCAGTGAATTACGATAAGACTGTCTAACTAGGCAGCACTGATCAAATATGAATCAAGACTATGTTACTGCATTGCATATTTCTCTCCTCAAATCATTTCAGAAACATATTTTAGTGTTTTATCTGTAAGATGAGTAAGTTTGTGACCCACAGCACACATTCTCATTTTACAGCTAAACAGAACGCTTAAATATGTATCTGAAGTTATTTAAAGCAAGAAACAGGCGATGCAGTAACAGAATCTTGAACTGTATGTGATATTCTTTTCTTTTAATAGTTTTGTTTGCAGGACATTCTAATCAGTTTTGGGGCATATTATGGTGTGTTAACATCAAAATGTCTCTCTGCACAGCTCCCCAGCAGCAGGTTATTGTTCAGGATTCCAAGATTCTACAACACATGAGTGCAACAGGGATGGTAAGTAGATAATGTCCAGATACAATGAACATACTACTATAGTTTGATGATTCATGCTCATAACAGTAACAGCCAATGCAATGTGACGATCGCTGATCTCAACTGTGCACACATTTACAGTGACTCCCTTATTCACTGAGGCCCTCTGATAGTGTGGTATGTTGTTATTGAGAGAACATGTGTTATCCAGGCACATATTTTACAGTCAGCCAAAAAGAAGAGGAAGATCTGCATGTGTCTGCCTCAGAGCAGGGTGACTGGTGTAGTAGCAGAGGAGAGGAGAGGAAGGACCTGTAGCCTGGATGACAGTGGAGATAAAGCATCCTCTCACACGCTCCCGTTGTCTCACGCACACCGACAAACACACTCTGTCGTCATCGGTTCAACAGAGTGTCAGCACTTCCCATCCTTTTGTGCTTCCTTCTCTCAACAACACTTCGGTTCAGCAAGCCATCTGTTGGTGTCAAGGCCTGCACATGTGCTGTATTAGTAAAGTGTTGTTTTTGTCTTGATTCTCAGACGCTTTGTTTAAGCTTTACTTGCAAATTCCGTTAACCTTTTTGCCATCAAACCTGGCAGGTAAAATGAACAAATGCAAATATGAAACGGCTGCTTTTATCACAGAAGCCAAGGAAATATGAATATTAGCACTTTAATGGTTTAAGTTGTGTTGTATTTCATGAATATTAAATCTCTCCAGAGAAATGTACTTAACACTTCGCATATTCCTGTGTGTGTACCTGGTGTGTAGAACATTTACACCGTGACAACCTTAAACTCTCACATTGCTTGAACCCTAACATCCTGCTGAAGTGAGTGAGTGAGTGAGTGTGAGAGAGAGAGAGAGAGAGAGAACCTGACTGCCGTGTTTCAGTCCCTCATGTGTGTTCTCCTTTTTCTCCTCTAGAGTGCAGCAGCTACAGCAGCAACCCTTGCTTTGCCCACAGGGGTCACCCCGTACCAACAGCTCATCACTAGCCAAGGTGAAACACTCACTGCTTTATCTGTGCATCAAAACGGGAAAAACATTTCTCCCCAAGACATTTTTTGCCCTTTTACCTGTATTGCTATTTATCAATCTGGATAGTCTTGGTGTGAGCTGCCTAGTGTTTGAGATATCGGTTGTATCGTCGGCTTGTGGTGCTCAAAGCTCCAAAAAATACCTTTTGAAAAATTCAACAGCAATGTCTCTAGAAATCATGACCTGGTTACTGAAGATAATCCACAGACCTGGTTGTGAGCAGTTTGATGTCGGCTCGTGGATGAGGGGCTCGTGCTCCTGGCAGCGTGGGATGTAAACATTAATGGCGTCCTCTTTGGCTGACCTCAGTGGTGCTAGGTGAGCTAGCGGTATCGGTTAGCTATAAGTACTCTCGTCCACAAGTAGATGCACGCTTCCTTTTGCGCAGTGATACGGTTGACGGATGTGGTTTGATAGAAAGAAAATAATTTCGACATGAAGCTGCTCATAACCAGGTCTGTGGATTATCTTCAGTAACCAGGTCATGATTTCTAGAGACATTGCTGTTGAATTTTTCAAAGGTATTTTTTGGCACTTTGAGCACCACAAGCCAAGTGCCATATAGTTCCATTATATTGTAGAGAAGACTGACATCTCTACGGTCGATATCTCCAACACTAGGCCACTCAGATAAAAAATATCTAGACTGATATAAAGCCCCACTGGTGAGAGGGGAACTATGTATTTTTGATTTTGGGGTGAACTGTCCCTTTAAGTTAGTTCATCGATATGTTCACTCTTCCGTTACTCACAACTCCTCTGTTTCACGGTCTCTCAGGTCAGATCCTGCAGGTGGTCCGTGCTCCCAACGGGGCTCAGTACATCATCCAGCCCCAGCAGCAGATCCTCCTGCAGCAGCAGATGCAGCCTGGCGGCGTGCAGGCCCCGGTCATACAGCAGGTATGCCCCATTAGACAGGTAGGAACACCTCACTTTGGTCAACAGTCCACCTATCTTTGTTATCTGTGGTCTTCAGAACAACAATCAACAGCTCATAGTGTATACAGATCAGGAAGCTGTTTGGCTGCATGGCTGTGGGTCCTCTGGTGTTGAAGCAGTGGAAGAACCATCTTATGGAAATAAAGACTTGAAATATGTGAAAAGAAATGGCATGAAAATCACTCAAACATCACCGCTTCACCCTAAGAAATCTTATCCATGACCTTTTATCAGTAGCTTCTCTAAATGAAGCAGCATCACTACATGATGAGCCACAATTACAATAAGTCAATTGAGTTTTAAATGAATAGCTTTTGGCATTTTAACATGTAATTCCTTCACAGGTCTCCAAAGACATTACACTAATGTTCATGCCAGAGCTTTTGCAAAATGTGAGTTCTTCCTGTTTACTGTGTGTCCAGGTCCTGGCTCCTCTGCAGGGAGGCCTGCCCCAGCAAACAGGAGTTATCATCCAGCCGCAGCAGATCGTCTTAGCTTCAGGAAACAAAGTCCAGGGCAATACACAGGTCAGCACTTCTTCAATTCCTCCAAAACATATCGAGTTGCTCTCTTCTGGAAGGTTGCTTTACTATTAAGAGTTTTGTCTAAAACATTCTTATGTGGTTCCACTATATCTCCTACCTCTTTATGTTTCTAATGGGCATCTGTGTCTTGTTTGGTGTGTTAATGATATCCGTAGCACAATGTCAGACAGGAAGCTTGATTTGGATTTAAAAACGTTTTTAATACAAATTCTTAACCTGACAATCACTGTTTGCCGTTAGGTGATGCAGGCAGCAGCTCTGGCACAGCAGCCTGGCCAGGCAGCAACAGCTCAGGTCCAGCAGGTCCAGCAGGTCCAGAGCGCAGCTGCACCACAGGTCCTACCGCAGCCACAGAACCAGCAGCAGGCCCAGCAGCAGCAGCCTCCCATGATACTGCAGGCGGACGGCACCGGAGACACCTCCTCAGAGGAGGACGAGGATGAGGAGGAGGAGTATGATGAAGATGAGGAGGAGGAGAAGGACAAGGATGGGGGAGAGGACGGGCAGGTGGAAGAGGTGGGCACCAGAGGAACCAAACGTTGTAGTGAAACAGACACAGAGCAGATGCTGCTGTTTAGTGGCAGCTGTACTGTGGTTCTGGATGAGGTCAGGCTCAGCAGAGATGAGCTAAGTAGCTGTTAGTGAATCAGTGTTTTAAGAAGTATGGCTTTATCTGTCAAAAGGCAGTATGATCTCATGATGAGGAGAAAGTTATGTTATATTGTGTAGTGATATGTTCATTTCCAGATATAATAAATAAAAGACCTTCCTGTAACATGATCAATGGGACACTCTGTGTTTTTATCACGAGGTTTAATGTTGGTTTGGTTTCCTCAACAGGAGCCTCTGAACAGTAGTGATGATGTCAGTGATGAGGAGGACCAGGAGCTGTTTGACACGGAGAATGTAGTGGTGTGCCAGTATGACAAGGTAAGAAGTCATCCATTCTGTGAGAGAACATGGCACAACTAAATGTATGAATATTCAAAATGTGTAATTATCTTATACCTGTTGATTTACACTAGCCCGCATCAATAGTTAGTTTAATTTCAGTATATTAAGTGTGTAACCCTGGTCAGATCAACAATCTACTGCAGGACTAACACACAGAGGCTAACGTTGATTCTCGTTAGTTTTTTCAGTAATAAATAAATAAACCTTTTCAGCCACTATAACAAAATGACCTAAGTAAAACATTCATGTTATCTCAGCTGGAATGCCTCCATCATACAGTCCCATTGTAAAGGTGATCAATGCCTCTTTAATTGTTTGTCTCATGGCAGTTGCTAGCATTTAGTAAAAATTGAGACATTTCGCAATCCTTTACTTTTGGATATTGCCGCTGCTTTTGGTAGATGCCCCTTTTTGCCTGAAGTGTAATGTTTGATCACCAGTTTCATACACCTTTAAGTGTATTACAGAAATATGAAATGCTAATAAGAGGTCTCAGCGAGAATATGTCGCGCCTGTTTCTCTCCTCCGTCGGGGTTTCACAGCGAGCAATATTAGCTGCTCTGTTTCAACAATGATGGGCTAAAAACCGTGCATGCAGGCGGGCTGAAATTCAACGGTGGTGTTATTTCGGGAGATGTCTGCCTCACCCCCCCAATTCAGTGCTTCTAAAGATCTATTGGTCAACGCTGGTTAATATGTATGTGTGTGTATGTGCGTGGGATAAAGACATTAGAGACGTGTCCACTGTAAGATGAAACGGTGTCCATCTGTCTTTGACGCCTACAACATTGATTTCCTTCGCTTTCCTCCCCAGATTCACAGAAGTAAGAACAAATGGAAATTCCACCTGAAGGACGGGATCATGAATCTGAATGGGAGAGACTATGTCTTCTCCAAAGCCATTGGGGATGCTGAATGGTGAAGGAGAAAAAAGAAAAAAACCCGGAGAAAGCAACAGGAGCAGGAACTCTATAAGTCCCTTTATCCAGTTAACAGACACTTCAATATCCTTCCATAGCCTGTGACTGGATTCCTGTCAGGAAACAACCTGTGAGTCTTTGAGAACTCTGACTAACCCAGCGGACTGTGAGGTACCGTACAACCCGGGTGTTGTCAAAAACACCCGGCTGGCCTTTCGGGATGAGAAACCTACAGCGGAAGTGAAAGCCTGCGAACAGAATCCTCTTGATCTTTCTTTGCTTCTTCCTGGCTTCTCTACGTTTTTCCTGAGAGAATTCACACACAGTGGAAAGTAAGCATTTCACTTCATGCAGGTGTAGTGGACCAGGGTGACCTGCCCCGCCACAGGAGGGTCAGAGGTCATTCATTATATCCCCGTAGATGAGAAACACCTTCATGATGCACTGTAGTCGGTTGACTGGATTGAATTTAAGTACATTTAAGTCCAAACTTAGTGCCACCAGTCAAGATCGCTGCCTTTAGAGCGGCCAGAATCAACTTTTGGCTTCTAATTTTTGCTCTTGGATTGTAATTCTGTCTCAATTCATGTTTATGAAAACGGTGCTCCGGAGGGTTTTATGTAGTTAACAACCTGTTATTGTTTTAAACTTTTTTTTAAAAATGTGTTTCATGAAGGGTTAAGAAAAAGAAGGTACAATTACATGAATTCTATAATAACTAATAGTGATTTAAAGGCATTATTTTAATCTAATGAGTGCTCAATCCAAAAATACTGTTATTTTTCTCATCTGCTTCTCTGGAGTTTCATTGCATCTTTAATCTTAACAAAAAAAGGAAGCGCAGTTCCAACACTGAATTCATTTTAGAACTGTACAAACTGTCTGAAGGTGTATCTTCTTTGCTCTTATTTTAGTTCCCTGCAGCCGTCTGAGAATTTGCACTGTCAGTTTATCAATGTTGTGAAATCAGTCAAGTTAATCAATAGCCACAGCGTGCTCTGTTTGTGTTGGGAGAGAAAGTGTGATACAGTGACTGACTGTACAGTGTGTGTGTGTGTGTGTTTGTGTTTGTGTGTGTGCGCGCGCGCGCGCGGTCACCGCTTTACTCTGGTAATGTATTCGTTTGGTTTTTTTTGCACACCCATAATCTCAAAATGTCTGTTAAAACATATTACAATTTCATTTTTTTTCTTTTTTTTTGGTGGGGACAAGGCGATGTCTTCTTTTTCTTTTTCTTTTCTTTATTCCTGAAAATTCCTGAAATGTTCTGTTTTGAAAGGTTGGAAAGCCGCACCAAACTGTGCTCTTATAATCTAATAAGTGTTCCTTTTTTTCTCTGTTGGTTGGACAAAGCTACATAATGCTGTGTTTCAAATCATTTCGTCCACCGTATGTTCTCCTGGGCTTTCATTTTATTCATGACTTTTAAACAAGAATATTTTCTATTGAAGCGAGTTTAACTCGGGGGGGCCTGTGTGTTTCTCTGCAGTTTGTTTTTAGTGCCCCTGTTGCAGCAATTTGAAATAAAGTATGTGTTTTTTGACTGTTGTGTCAATTTGGTTGATAGTTGGCAATATAGAGTATGATTTTAACGAGACTAATAATACCAAGGAAGCACTGACAAGATTACCGATGCAGAACCAATGAAAAATTAAAAGATTTAAATTCTTTTTTACATTTCCCCATACATAATCTAACGGGAATACAATCATATTTTTAATTAAGATTTTTTTGCACAGACTACTAGTAATTGTCTGCATCTATTTTGATGAATGTACACTGAAAACAACGGGCTGAGAAAAACAGGCACTTTAAAATAGACTTCAAATAATAAATATAGATGTGCCAACAGGTTTCCAACATATTTCAGGAAGAACATTCCGCATTCAGTAGCTCTCCATTAGTAAAAGGAAAAAAGTCAGCTCACAGTTGCTTAGTTATTTTATGTTCTCTTTATTGTTGGTTGTTGCGTGTGCCTTTTGAACCTTTTTAATTTTTCTGATAACAAATGGTAGATTAACATGAAAAGAATGTCTATTAAAAATGTATTCTCTGCTTTCCGAATGTTCTGTTGTGTGTTCTAACTGCTGTTCAGATAAGGGAAATGTATTGTTCGCACACTTTTTTTTATTACTTTTTTTTTTAACAAATTAACTTTCGAACAAAAGCCCTATCCCTACTCTTACACAGGCTAAGAAATGAGTGTCACTGTAAACCTCTTAACTCAAGTGGAAAGGTATTCTCTATTACAATACTACATCGGTTCCTATTTTGTAAGATTAACTCCCCAACCCCATCTGATGAACAATTCGTTCATTACCTTTAGTTACTATTGTAACAATTCATTTATGACCTTTAGTTACTATTGTAACAATTCATTTATGACCTTTAGTTACTATTGTAACAATTCGTTCATTACCTTTAGTTACTATTGTAACAATTCATTCATTACCTTTAGTTACTATTGTAACAATTCATTTATGACCTTTAGTTACTATTGTAACAATTCATTCATTACCTTTAGTTACTATTGTAACAATTCATTCATTACCTTCAGTTACTATTGTAACAATTCATTCATTACCTTCAGTTACTATTGTAACAATTCATTTATGACCTTTAGTTAATATTGTAACAATTAATTTATGACCTTTAGTTAATATTGTAACAATTTATTCATTACCTTTAGTTACTATTGTAACAATTCATTTATGACCTTTAGTTAATATTGTAACAATTCATGTATTACCTTTAGTCACTATTGTAACAATTCATCCATTAACTTTAGTTACTATTGTAACAATTCATCCATTATCTTTAGTTACTATTGTAACAATTCATCCATTAACTTTAGCTACTATTGTAACAATTCATCCATTATCTTTAGCTACTATTCATTTATTACCTTTAGTTACTAACAATTCATTTATTACCTTTAGTTACTAACAATTCATTTATTACCTTTAGCAATTTTAATCACTTTGCTTTGATTTATCTATTATAACTATCAATTATTTGTTGCTAACTATTCAAACCATGTATGTATTACCTTAGCTAAGTGTTCACCTGACTGCTCACTTGCAAACTACACGCTCAAATGCAACTTGTGGTGTTCAAGTCTTACAGCTGACCCAAAATGTGTAGACTATATATTCTTTAATCATATCTTATTTTCTTTTCTTTTTTTTCCAAATGAGTTTAGTCACACTAATCTTTCCACGTGTGTTAACAGCTGCAGAAGTAGCCTGTGGGGTACAGGGAGCCCTGTTTGGAAATCACTTCCTTACTACATCTGATGCTACATGGACGTGTGAACCCTAGAATCTGCCTCAGCCTGTCTTCAATTCAACTTTTGGAGCTGTGTAATCCGGTGTCTGGATGGCTGTCAGTGTATGCACAGCACTGGGCGTTCTCCCTGCCTTTCCTCTAATTCCTAACTAAACTCATACAATCCCTGTGTATTTCCTTGTGGGCAATTATGAGATAAAGGTGTGGTGCTGTCTGGGATTAAAGCTGAATCAGAAACTTCATGGAGATTTCTGCCCTTGATTGTAAATGGATTTGAGGCAAGCTGTCACTTCTACGATATATCATGCTTCACAAAGACTTATTCAGTCCCGAACAGACCTAGTGGAGGAAGAATGTAACCCTGGCTACTACTGATGAAGTGGGCCCCCTTGCTACTACTGGGCACTCCGACCTAAGAGTCTGTGCTGCTGGCCATTGAAGCTTATAATGAGGCCCTGGAGATGTCTGACTTAGACTCTATAGCTTTCTCTGCTTACCACCCAACTGACGGGGACTGCCAATCAGCTGCATGGTAAAATAGAGTTTGTAGGCTTCAGTGGAATGTAGTAGCCAGGCCTGTTGGCTGAGACATGTTGAGTTTATCGTAGTCTGTGAAGCTCTTTCAAACAAAGAGCCTCTATCCATTTCTAATGGAGATTCCTCCTTTCCTGGTTTTCATCCATTGTTGAATTCCATGTAGCTACTTCAGTTTCAGGGTTCTGGTATAGGGCATGCTGGCTCACTGTCACACTGTCATGGCTTAATGGGACACTTGAATAGAACAGAGCCATTGTTAGTTATTAATAACCCCTGTGCTCTTCCTGCTATGAATCGCCCACTGTCCTGTGAGGTAAATTCTTATCTTTGAGCTTGCAGAAGATATCCAGTTATTTCAAATCAAAGGGCAAAAAGTCATGAGAAATTGTGTTCTCATTAAAGTCAAGTCTTTTGTGATTTTGTCAAATCAAGTCTAAATAACAGTAAGCTCCAAGTGAAGGGCATGTTTGTTAAACAGTGTCTGACTCCCCCCCCCCCCCCCCCCAAAAAAAGCTTTCCAGCATATGACAAGTATGCCCACTTCACTGAACAATTGAGCAGGTGAGTTAGCAGGGTTTATTGTGAAACTTGTTTTTTTGTTCTTCACACAAATACATCTGTCACTTTATGTATGTACAGATGAGTTCCACACTGTGAAATGCATAAAGGTAAAGAAGATTGGGATTTCTATTGCCTCTCTTGGGCTCTGGGCTCTCAACATGTTGACTTCTGAGCCGGCGGTTTGCAGCTAACGGTGCTAACGGTGCTAACAGCGCTAATAGTGCAAACTACTGCAAAACTGCCGACAGAGTTAAAGCTCTGTTTACACTTTTTGCGTGGCACCGTGGTTCAAGTGCTCAACATGCTGTTTGTTGCATTTTTCTCCTAAAAAAAGGCAGACAAACTAAATGTACTGTGAAGAAGTGTAACCTGTAAAACGCCCTAAACCAACCTACACAATGCACTACAACAATTTGATTTAGCTGGCAATATATATACTCAAACGTAAATGTTTTAGACTTCCTGTTTCTAGAGCATTTCAATAAGAATTGGCCATTTTTGTAAAATCCCCAGACATCATAATAGTGCATATATCAATTAACTATTTAAGACAGTCAGTCTGAAAAGCTCAGAGGGTGTTAGCAGTGAGTGCCTAGTTACAAAACTTTAGAGGTGCACGACTAAGCACTGCGACCACTTGCTGGCTTCACCAGGGGGAGTCTAAACCAAGCTTAACAGTGTTTACCTGCGGGTGAACCAAAGGGCGAGTGCTATGCTTCCATGCATCAGCTGCCACCACTGTATGAGAGCAGTGCAGAGCAGCGACCGTGAGCCAAACAAGGACTTGCGGCTGGCTATGCAAACAAAGCACAGAGAAGCTCGGATTCATTCTCTGCTCAGGTAGACATTACTCTTCTATATATTTACATAGACAATAGTTTTTTGGTTCAGAATGTTAAATACGGCTCTATTAAGTATTTGAAACACCGTATTTTTGACAGAGACCATTAGCAAGGTGTTCCTCCTGTGCACATTTAATTAGCAATAAGTCGTTCTGATTTAGTCATTTTGGTCTCATGCCATGCACTCCACCTGGGCAGCGTAAAAGAGTTTGTAATGACCCAGACATTCACACAAATAGATAACACACAGAGTGAGGTTCTTATTGCCCTGCGTGGATTGTTCACGGATCAACTGTATGTCATGGTGGAATGTTTGGTGACAGTAGAAAATATAGAACTTGTTCTAAGTGTTATGGTTGAAGAGTGGAACCACTTTCAGAACAACGCTGACTTCAACTCTGTGGTTCACTCTAGTAGTGATTGAAGAGTTCTTTTTCTGTGAGAGAGAGAAACTTGACTCTTTGAGAGGACTGTCCATGCCTACTGGCCCATGGAATAATTTAAGGAGGGACGTCATAAATGCAGGGATTTTCTGTTCCCAGCAACAAGAGCTGGATGGATACTTGAAGACTCTGACCTCCTCTGAGCGACCAAGGCTATTCTAAATGTTATGATAAAAACCACAATTCCTCTGTTCAGTGCTTCACATGATTCTTTTCCCACTGTATTTGAGTTTAGCAACATAATCTGGTGTAAGCGCGATTCATTGTCGTGTCGTGCCCTGCTTATTTGAGGAACTGCTTGGCGATGGGTTTATTTGAAATACCGATCGAGGAATGATGAGGCAGGCCTGAGAACCAGCTACATGAAGAGTGTCAAAATAAATCCAGTCCAAGTCTCAATCGCTTCGTTTGGCTCTTTCAGTCTGTTGGTTTCTCTGATATAATCTCTGATATTTTGTTATCCTAAATTGAGGTGTAGTTTCAGAGGGCAGGTATGTCACCATCCCCAGTACCTTCGCGCTCACCCTCGCAAATGTGAAGTGGTTTTGATTTTTATCAAACTGGACATGTGCACACTCGTGAAACAAGTATGAAATGTGGCTTAACATTAACTGTCAGTGGAAGGGAGGAGGCCCCTCACAAATGCAGCCAGGCACATCATGCTCCAGCTCCAGTGCTTAGCATTTGAAGGGTCCACACTGGATTGTTGTTGATGGGTGATTGGAGGAGATGGACACAATGCTGTGGGAAATATTCAGCTGAAAATAATGACCCGAAAGCCTGGAACTGATGCCACTCTTAATACTTTCCACTTTAAAAATCAAAATCCTTCCACTTTTTGAGGTTTCATCTCACTGATATTTTGAGAATCCATAAGAGTGGTATAGGGTTGGGAATGTACTATATTTTCCATACTGAAACACACTGTTCAGCTGTCTGGTCAAATAACTTCACAACGACTTTGCAAGCTCAATTAAAAAAGGTCTGAAATGATCTCTCTTTCCTGGAAAGTCCCCCCTGTTCATCTGTATATTTCCTTGAAAAAAATGTCACCCAGCAGATGAAATGCTAACCAGATGTTAAGCTGCCATTGGCAGAGGGTGTCCTTTAACTCATAATGGCTCAATATCGCACAAGTTACAGCAGTGCAGCTCACACATGTCTCAGCTGTATTCGCTTTAAGCTCTCCCGGCGAAGGCAAAGCTATCTCTGCTGATTGTATAAGTCACTTGTTTCCGTAAGAGGATGGAAAAATGTCACGATCATGCTAGAAAAACAATCATGACATTCCAGAGGAGAGACAAGGCTTTAGCAGTATATATTTGTGATTATCATACCTGTCTGTAATTTGTAGAAAATTGCTAATAATCAAAATATGTCTTGTGTTTACTTTTGTAATTGGATCACATGCTCTCTGGAGATGAGGACGTACCTCTGCAAATTGTTTTGCTGGATCAATGTGAAAAAAGGGAAAGTAAAATATCTGGTTACGTAATAATAAAAAACTCACAATAACACAAAGAACAAAATTATACAAATATTTTATGAATCTAACAAAGTGATACATCCGTTTGGTGCAGGTATAAGCCACATGAAAATACAATTTCAGAGCACTGTAAAAAACACTGCTTTCCAACATCACAGTCTAGTATTATACGATTCCTGTCTATATTTACTGTTTAGTTTCTGGTTAAAAGGTTAACACCAACAATGTGTCCTGTTTTTATCCATAAATCACCAAACACTATTGTGTACTTACATTATATTTGGAGGTATTGAGATGACAATAACAAATGCAGTATTTTTTCCATTTTCTGGATAAAGTTTCCACTGTGAACAGCACTGAGCCAGCAGGCTGTCCTTGAATAGAATTACCAAGTATTAATAGGGTGCCTCAGAAAAGTTATTTTATCACAGGAAAATTAAGTATTTTTTAAAATCTGTTATAATTCCTTGTATATCAATGCTAGATTGTGCAGGGATAATCTGAAATTAAAGAAAATCTCAACTAAATTAAAGGTACTGAAAAAAATATTGTATTCATAGTTATAAGTATGTTTGAGTTCTTATCTTTACTATTTTTAAAGATAAGAAGAAGAAAGATATTTTTTCTTTACTGTTCTTTTCCAGTCTGTCCCTCCAAATACAAAGGACTGAGATGAAGTCGGGCTCACATTTCATTGACATTTGATATTCTCCAACAACTGGAACCGTAAAATCATCACAGCCGAAATTGTGAAAACAGCTGAACTTGGCCTGCAAGCTGAAGCAGATACAGAATACTGGATCTTTCTGTTAAATATCCAAACAGATCTGTCCACAAACGCATCAAGGCCTCTCATTTCCCACCGGAACCTGCCCTGCATTACTACCTTGAGCTGGTGTTTGGCTCACGTGTTCAGTCTCTGGCTCTCTTCAGAACTTGTCAGCTGGCAGACTGCTTGGTGGTCGGTTTGTCCGGAGCACTTCTTCAGGTGGATGGGCACTTCTTCCTGGCCCCCATTTCCAACTTTCTTAACCTTATCCTTGTCTTTACGGTTCTGAGATGTCCCGCTGCTGCCCTTTGACGAGACCGCCTGGCCTCTGAACAGCTGTGCTCGCTGCTGACAAAGGCCCACCTTACTGAGGAGGATGAATACGTCCCCCCTGAAGGCTTTTGTGAAGATGGCGTACAGGAACGGGTTGGCACATGAATTGAGCGGGTAGAAGAGCACTAATAAAATCTTGGAGTTGGAGACGGTGATGAGCGGCCGGTCCAGCGCGGCCGACATGGCGTAGAAGGAGATAGGCGCCATACACAAGAAGTCAGTAAAGATGAGGACAGCCATGCGCTTGGCGATGTTGGTATCCTTGGATCCAGAACGGTAGTGAGGGTTATGCACTGCGCAGTAGATCTTGAAGTAGCAAGCACAGATAACAAGAAAGGCCAGGATGTTGAGGACCAGCACTGACAAGATGTAGACTTGAGCCACTGTGGACTGGGTGTCCATCGGGAGACAGATGCTGACCTTCTGGTAACTGCTCACCCCAACCAGCGGGAGCAGGGCCAGTATGAGGCAGAAGATCCAGCCGCCTAGCATCACGGCTGCCGCATGGTGCAGACGCAGCTTACGATCCAGCCGCATAGCAAAGGTGATAGCGTACCACCTCTCCAGAGTGATCACCGTCAAGGTGTAGACAGACAACTCGCTTGCGAAGACCGTAAAAAACCCTGCAAGTCCACAGCCAGGGCCCGTCTGCCAGTCTATGGCGTGGTTGAAGTACTCGGCTCGTGTGTGGAGGTCTACAGAGGCGATAAGCAGCAGATAAATTCCCATGCACAGATCTGCAAAGGCCAGGTGACACATGAGGAAGCGAGAGACTGAGAGCTTGTAGTGGCTGGTGAGCAGCACCAGGAGCACCACCACATTTCCCAGAACAGCCAGCAGACTCACAAACCACACAGACACTCGCAGGAAGCCAAAACCCATTATGTCCTCACAAGGATTGAACTCATCAGGCACTGGTGCACATGCCACCTCCTCTCCCTCCTCACACACCACATAATCGTAACGACTGTTAAAGTCTTGGCTGGTGTCCTCCTGGGGGTTCTTGAGGGTCTCTCCGAAACCCACATCCTCATCTGGCTGGCCCCCAAAATAGGCGTGGTAGTGGAGGCTTCCATGGAAGTCACCTCTCCTCCAGTCTTGGGACTCTCTGTGGCTTCCGCCATTTGGATCCTGGTCTGGGATTGTTTCCTCCACAACGTCCCCTTGGAGGGAAGGCATGCCAAGGGGCCCCACAGAGCGCTTTTGATGCTGGTCGTAGAAGGCAGTCAAGTTACAGATAAGGTACTCCACAAAGCTGAAAAACACATACAGTTTGAGTTGATAAAGTAATACAGTGGTCCTAATTTAGACAAAAATACAGAGACCTGGCTTCAATTCTCACTCACACTCAAGCGTCAAATCACATCATTTCATTTCTATATCCAGTTGAGGAAAAGTGGTTCCTATTTTGAAAGTCGTTATTAGTCTGGCTCAACCTTTTTCCTACAATAACAGCAATGATGGCATTAATTATGGCAACACTTTAAGAAGTTATAGGTAAACACGTCAGAGAAACACGTCAATCCCTGCCAAGATCCACACTGTGCAGCTGCCCCACTCAGTATGGTAGATAATCCAAATACACAAAAACACAAGAGCATTCTATTGGACTCTGTTTGTCTTTCAAACACTATGGATACACTTATTGTGATGCATCAACTTGACTTTTCTGACTCTTCTAAGTGCAGTACATTCCTAGAATGCAAAATTAGAAGAATTGACGAATGCTCACCCTCGTTTTTTTTTTAGGTTTTTGAAGCCGCAGCAGTGGCTGGGGTAGGTGAGGTTGGCGATGGTCAGGTGCTTGAAGGTTTTGATTGGCGGCAGTTTCTTGAGGGCCCAGGCATCGCGCGCCTTCAGCTCCCGGAGAGAATCAACACCTGTGGTCGGCAGGGAAGTGATCCCTGTTAGGGACACGTCTCTTTAAGGCAGAAAGGAAATGAAAGAATTTAAGAAGATACAATTAGGTGCATGAACATAGATTTTTGTTGTTGGCTCTAATAATGGCAGAGTGGTCATGAAAGGAAAGTGGAGGGGGCCCCATAGTCCCCTCCAAAGCATGGGACTGTTCTTTGCAACATCCCTACCCCATGCAGGGTTCTTCAAACGTTTAGTGATTTCCCAAATGCGTGATTTTTTCGCCAGGAATGATGCAATGTGTGCATGGGTCAAAATTAACAAAACAATGAAATCCAATATATTGCTCTTCTTTTTCACTGGAACCATACTATAAGTCCTCTGCACGGGCCATGGCAGTGGTCAGTGTGTAGTCTATGGAAATATTGGATTTAAACTATTATATGTGGTATTTCTTGCGCTCTGCCGTCATGCCAAAGCCAGCTTAATCTCATCGGGACAGAGACATGCAGGGGACAGACAATCTCACTAGCATCCTGTGTGATCCTGTTATCAGGACATTCTATTCAGCACCGGACACTCTCCCCCTTCCAGGGGCCAAGTAGAGGCCACATTTTCTCTCGCTTTCTTTAGTTTCCGAACCCATTAAACCTTTAAGTCATTATGCTTATTAATGTAATTAAATAAAAGAAACACAAGCCAAAGTATTTCATATTCACTAAGAGGCCAATTGTTCTCTTTTAGTCCCAGTTGCTCTCCCCACTTCTCTGCCCGTTGCTCGTTTTTCCTCTCATGGGACACATTGTGTAAGGCTGTAAAAAATAATTAAAAAAAGCAGCACAGACTCTTAGTGTCAGTCTGATTTTGTCATTCCCAGATGTTTAACTCATGACCTCATGAAAGTGACCTCACTCAGGACATGTTCCTCAGTGGAACAGAGGAGGAAGACCTGCACACGAACCCCATTTAGCTACCCAGACACTTTATGGCTAGATCAGAGCCATAACAGCAACTAGATAGCCGTGGTAAAGGGTTCTGGCAATCAAACACTTTTAAAATGGAGATTCAGCTTGAAAAACCTTGAGAATGGCAAAAACAATGACAGTATCAGAGAAACGTCGGAAGTTTCTTCCTCCAGCGCTTGCACACAATGCGTTTCAGATTTCCTGGTCAAAGACACAGCTGTGGGGGAATGATTTTTACGCTTTGCTATCCATTTCGCAGACATGTCTCATCCGGTTTGCACATTATGAACGAGGAAATTGTTAAAATCTATCTTGACATGGTGTGAATAATGAAAGTACCAAACTAGGCCTATTATTTATTAATTTATATGAGTTTTTAAAACGGGTTGATTTATGTAAACCAAAATGTTTAACATCAGCCAACCTTAGCGTTCCTTAGTTAGTGGTCATACCAGACCAAGCTGTAGCGGTAACCCCTGCATGTATTGAACTGAGCAAGGGTGTGTTTTATTGCTTATGAGTTCAACATTTGATTTGGTTTTCTTCGTTTGAGAACATTTAAGTACGCTAAGCACAGAAGTGTGTAACCAAAACCATCCACCAACATCCAATTTAACCAATGTATCAATTTAAAGTGTCACTTCCGCCCAGGTCTGAGCCTAAGTCCACCCTTTGTATCATTTTGAAAAAGAAAGTAGTCTGCTCTGCTCCCTGTAGTCTCCTAGTGGCAGTGAGCAGGGATATAGCTGCTGCTGATCACCAGCCCGCTGTTCTGCTCATTTTCTGTAACCAGTGTAACGTTAGCATGAAAACAGGGTGGAATAAGCAAGGTAAGGTTAGCTGGCTAGCTAGCCAGCCACTAAATGAGAAAAATGAAACAACTTGATGCTCCATTTACACAGTCTTGTCATTAACATTGATTCACCAGACTTTGTAATATCCTGATAGCGTTAATGTCCAGCTCGCAGAAAGGAGTTTACAGGCTTGTGCTGTGATTGTAGTGCTACACAGTGGTTACTGAAGAAGTAAAAATGATAACCGCTGTGTGATCAAACCCCCTGATCAGAGGGCGTAAACATTCTTCTATTTTATGACGTAGATTAGTCCCAAGCGGTCGTTTCTACTAAGAATCGGCTTTACAAGCCGAGGGCTGATTTAAAACCATAGACTGTATAGAGACATTTTCAACTATGAAATGTCTGAAATGCAGATTTTTATAAACTTGGTAAGAAATATCAATATTAATGCCAGCATTGATGTGTTTCATCGCAGTACAGTCATATCTTTTAGTTTAGCTTGAGTGTGTGGTTACTCTTTTATAAATGTATTTAGACAGCAGATTAGGATTGTCATTGTCATTTTACATGCTAATAATACTAGGATGATGAAATCTCCAAAGACTTATCACAAAACATCCCACAAATGGATGTAACTGTGGCTCACCTCTTGGAACAATGGTTCTATTGTATGTGAGATAAGAACATGTGTCACTACAAACAGGTACTTCAGGTATACTTACAGAAGCATGGGGCCGCTGATGGTGCCCGCAAAAGCCTTTTCATCCATCTTAGTAAGATACCTGTTCCTGTGAAGGTCTCTGGACAGGAAAGCACAAATTGAAGTTTATTAGTAGAAAAGCTATCCTTCTCATTTCAATCCGACTGACAAAGGCGAGGCATGGCATAATATTTCCCCAAGCCTCATCACCGCACAGTTCTCTGTTTATTTTCTCTTATTTCGGGGATGAAACATGACAGAAAAAGGCCTCACATACATTGTTGATTTAAATTAAACAGTGTGATGGTGTTCTCCTTAAACACACTGCACCCTCACTACACCATCACCCTGAATCCCTTACATCTAATGAGGATAATAGACCTGTGAGTGGTGTGTTTGTCTTGGTCAGGGTGCGCTGGGATCAGTTGTCCCCTCTGAGCAGATCAGGCGCCAACACAAACGTCCGTGTGCAAAGACTCACAAGTCATTGACCAATGGCTTAATTAGGCTCTTATATGGACCCGGGATGTGTGTAGGTGTTGTAAAAGAGGAGATTGATATCATTAATAACTCATATCCTGAATAAACAGGATTCCGGACCAGCGGGTGACAGGAAGAAAGAAAAGATGTTGCGTAAAGAGAAGAAAAGGAAGCACTGCTTAACTTTCTCTTAAGGTACTGAGGCTATTGAATATACAAGTGTGACTCTAAACTGATGTCTACAAGTCACCGAGAGCAGAACATTTAATGCAGACTTCCTGATTCACACTATTGAAAACATATTTTCATGAGAATATATTTATTATGTATAATATATTATGTATTATGTATGAGAACTATTCAAGAGCTGGGCTTAGGCCCTGTTAGAGTACATATGAGACGCTACTGTGATCCTGCTGCTTTTGTGGTGCAATTTTTGGTAAGACGATACACATGCCAGATGTGCCATGCAGAAATGGTTTAGTCCAGACAAAATACAGAGCAACATCATTTTTCTGAGAAATGTAAGACCTCTAAATCGATTGATTTTGGTGTCACATATAAAAAATAAAATAAAAATGTGACTTGAGAATTGAATTTCATAAAAACGCTGTTGAAACAGTGAATCATAAATTGAGACATAACTAACGTAATACACAAGTAACAATAGCATGACACTGCTCTGATTAGTCAGTGTAATAGCATGTCCATTCGTATGTGTCTGAAACTGCTGAACAAAATTAAAGGAACATTTTGTTATTTTGGGAAATATGCTTATTCAGTTTTCTTGAATTGAACAGTTAGATGAGAAGATTGATACCACGCTCATCTCTGTATGATTCACATGAAGCTACAGCCTGCAGCCGGTTCACTTAACTTTGATGTCAGCATAAAGACTGGAAACAGCTGAAATAGTCCTGCACATGACATCCAATAAAACTACAAGCTATTGTCGTTAGACTTAGGTGCGGAATAAATGAGATAGCATGTGTTATTAAGTCAGCTTTAGAGCTGCTGGTAGGTGGATGTCGTTACCTTTGGACAGAGCCAGGCTAGCTGTTTCCCCTGTTTCAAGTCTTTAAAGGAACAGTGTGTAGCATTAGGAGATCTATTGGCACAAATGGAATATAATATTCATAAGTGTCTTTTCTTTAGTGTATAATCACCTTACAATAAGAATCGTTCGTTACCTTACAATGAGCCGTTTACATCTACATACAGAGCGGGTCCTCTTCACTGAGCTGGCAGCCATGTTTCTACAGTAGCCCAGAAGGGACAAAACAAACACCGGCTCCAGAGAGGACCATTCATGTCTTTGAGTCGGCCACCTAAGTTCTCCTACACACTAAATGATGCCAAATCACACACACTGCACATTCAGGAGCCGGGATTAAGCGGCTGCTGGCTGTAGCCTCATATTTAGCGGACAGACATGAGTGCACACATTTGCCTAAATGTCAAATGCCAATATGAAATACCTACACTTGATCTAGCTTGGTTCCATTGAAGGCATGATGTTGGATTTCTCTGAAGCCATTTCCATACAGCATCCTGGAACAAAAGCAGAAGTCAGTAATATCAAGGTAATAGCACTGATTACAATATGTCTCTTTAGATTTAATAACCAATCTACTGAATGAAAATATTTTCCATGTGTTGATGCCTCATCCATTTCTGCGCAGCAGTGACACAAATAAGTAGGACCTGCTGATTTCACATTCTGTGGTGAGGTTTCATCTGTCTGTGCAATTTTGTGGTTCTTAGCCCAAGATTTTCTGTAACATTCTGTTTTGTGGAATAAAATTGCAGTTCCTCTTCCCTCCTCGCTCCCAAACCTAACCGCATACATGTGATTGCCTGTTGTGTTTTCAGAGTCTATGTACTTGTTTTTTCTATCTTTAAAAAATATATTGAGTTCAGAGTGAGGACATGTTTTTAAACATGAGGTCATTTTGCCCAATCCACACTTCTTCTAGTGGCTATTTTAGGGTTTAGATTGGATTAAGGGATAAAGGACACTCACTGTATATTTACTACATTCTTTTATCTAGTTCACATTCCCCTTGTGTATTTTGTATACAAGTGTATGACACAAACATACATGTAAATGCATGAAGATAAGCGGTTATTTTTCTGTACATTTATGCATGTGCACATGTCCATGCATGTGGTTGCTCCTGCACATATCTTACACTGTCAGCACGTCGCTTGTGATGCCACGGAATGAGTTGGCTGGAATCTCCGTGATGAAGGGATGATCAACAACCTCCCTGCAAAGGAAGACACCGAATGGAGAGGAAATTAAGTCGTGTTAATAATAGAATAAGAAATACCTTACGCTGGAAAGTGGCACAGGGAGAGATGTAGTGGATTAATGTATTCTCAAGTATTATGTCTCAGTAGGAAAGTTAAATTAGATGGAGTGGGTGTGAGTATAGATGCTCATTTTGTGTAGACATTCAGAGGGTTATATATGGAAAGGCAGATACCTATTGACAACAAAGATGCACACGTGCAGAAAGCACAAACTCATCTATAGGGCCCATCACACTGGACGCGGCACGGCGTGAAAAGTCGCCGTTGGAAATAATGGGTTTCAGAGATAGTGGCGGCGTTGTTCTGTGTAAAAGGCCCATTATGTGACATTTTGTATACTAATACCACACAATCAAATTCTTGAAGGGAAGTGGTCTTGTTAGTAGCGGCATTTCTCAAAATTGAGACCACATTTCCCATAATCCCGACAATGTTGTGTTCCAGACATTAATGTTGCTTCCTGCCCCTCCGTCTTACATGGAACACAACGGATGGTAAACATCTAAGAGGTGATTTCATACTTTATTCCTTTTGACATTCTTAAAGTAGTATAAGATATAGTGTGACAGTCTTGTTGGTTTATGATAGTTATGGCATTCATGAGGCAATTAATTGCTGACATTAAAATTCCACACGTAGCAGTTTAAACTAGTGTGTTGAGTTTATAAGTGGTAAAGGTATACCAACTTACAGTATGAAGTTCATGTCATTAGAGTGGATGTGGCTCAAGTCAGGGAAGAAAGAGAGGCCGGTATTGAAAATTCCCCTGAATAGCAAGAGGATAGAAACAGTGAGGACATACAGTAGACACAACAGAGACTACAAGCTCCTTTAAGGATAACAGGTACATTACACCAGCCTAATGCAAAAGTGTAATGAGCATTTCTATTACAAACATATTCCTTAAGATCTGAGTTTGGTTTCACGACATAGTTTAATAATAACCAGCCCAATTCATTTACTGGCATATTCATGTGTGACACCAAGTAGACCAGTTGTCTGGTTACAAGCCAGGGGTTCATAAAGGACTTATAAGTCATCATGACACTTTAACATTTTTCTAAAAAGTTAAGAGTGAGCGTTCACTTTTCTGAACTGGACCTGTACCACTGCATTAAACTCAAATGAAGCATGACTCACTCTTGCCCATACTGGTGCACACAATGCTACGAATAGATCACAATGTCGAAATTATTGCCAGACGTAAAGTATTTTAAATATATACAGCATGTCTTTTTGGATTACCATAATGTCAATATGAAGGAGTCAATGACAAAAACAGTATGAGTTCAAATAAAAAAACATGCAATGAAAAATACTCACAAGTATTTGAGGTTTGGGAGATTTTTAAAGGCTTCTGGGTGAATGTAGGTCAGACTCTTTGCATTACGTATCTCTCTGAAAGACCAGACAAGAAACAAATGTCCTCAAAATGCACTTACACATACAAACACAGTCACTCAGAGCATGAGTAAGTACTGAGGAAATTATTTGGACACACATTCAGAAACACACACTTATGACTTGCTGAGAGAACAGAACAAGGTGCATGCCAGTGTGCAAGAGAGGGGAAAGTCGGTGCAGACAGCCAGGGCCGGAAGAAGAGTCCAATTAGTGTTTCATTAGTGTGTTTACTCTGGTCAGCCCTGGGCTGCACCCAACACCTCTCTCTCTGCCCTGTGAAGCCATGTGGTGCTGTGGAACATGTGTCCTGGCCCTTCTTCACACACACCTGGGACCCCACACTCAGCCCAGCACACAGACAGGGTCAGGTCAATGGAAGTCACTGAGTGGGAGAGCTTGATCTTCACTGGTGGTGTTAAAATACTAAAGCTACACTGAAATATCTGAGAGCAGTTTATCAGTGAAAATAACCGTGTCCCAGTCTGCCAAGCAGTCTCCAACTGCTGAGACAAAGAGGTGAGCTGGAGAGTTTGAATCTTTGTCACAAGCCTTTGAACTCCAGAGGGTCAACGACACAGTGTGTTGTAACTTCTATTTCCTTTTACTTGGATTCTCCATTGATAAAGTTGGTTTCTGTGGGTGGTGGGTGGTCTTTTCTTTGGTGCCTTTGGCTGGTCACGTCTGACAAGGTTTGCACTCTTGAATCCAGCCTTTCTAAAAAGTAGAATCAGGTTCATGTTGCCAAGGTAAACGGTACCATCATCACATACTGTGAGAAAGTAGCCTGCACAAAAACGTATTCAAGAAAAGAACACAATCATTTCATACATCAATGATTCGATCATTTAATTGGGCCAATGATGCTCTTATGACTGAATTGTTCACTTTAAGTTAATGTTTTTCACACATTGTCACATAATGTATCCTCTTTGTATATGAAGAGCCTCTTCTAGTTTTTTGTCAGTGCACGGGTCATCATTTCTACATGATATCGATGTGGTCAAGTTAAAGCAACATTTATTGGTTGTTTGGCCACTTGGGGGCAAATAACAATGGCATATTATAGCCTCACAAAGGTGTTAAGGTGAACGTATTAGCAAACTGTTGACTATGTAGTCATCCAGCAGACATGGGGTAACATTAGCATTAACTTGGAGTCGTGTTTCTGGATAGCAGACAAATGTAAGTCCAATATTCTCTCTACTTTTATCCTTTCTTTGTCTCCACCAACTCTTGAGGCAGAGTTGGCTCTTTAGCTGCTAAATGCTCCACCCTGTTCACCAGCCAGTCGCTAACTGTCCTTGTCTGCTGTTGGGTGTTAAGCAGGTAGCATACCGTGTGTTTATCAGAGTTGGAGCTTCTGCTGCTGGAAATGAGGGTTATGAGAACGATGAGATTAAGTTGCAGGCTGTAAAACCTAAACCTGTAAAATCTGCTCAGAGACACTATTAAGTTCCGTAGAGCTGAGGGAAACTGCTGAGTCGGCTAATGATTTGTAACTACATTTACATTGACACATATTAATTGGATCAATGCAGCTTTAACTACCCACTTTATTTCCTGTGGATGACCCAGACAAACATGCTGATGTTGCTGCTGGAAAGATAAAATACCTACTTTCCTTTGTGCCAGTTTTTTTAAGCACAAATGACCACAAATGTTGAAGCTTTCATGAACTGTGTGTTTTTTTATAGGTTGATCATTATGACATTCACATCACTTGCCAACAGATGATCAAAACTGAGATTGATCTATTTACTGTGCCAGTAAAAAGCAAGATTTCTTGACATTGGTGGTTTCTCTTGTTGGTGGCATGAAACAAACTTCACCCAGCTCCCTCTGAATTCTCTGCTTCGACTGCAGTCTTAGATCCACAGCTGCTGTCGGCCTCGAGCAGCCAACAGGAAGCGGAGCATTAATTTGTGTCTGACCCTGAAGGAAACCTGAGAGAGATGCCATTATCTGATGTATTGCACTACACCACACCAATCAGTGGCAAATAGGCCCCAGAGATCCAAAATACACCCCCAGAACACGGATTCAACCCTCAGCTCGCAGTTTGAATTATTGTTTCTGTCTGTGTTTTGATGTCTGGAATTCGGCAGCTAATAAAGAAAGACAAAAAGGAAGGGTAATTGAGATAAAAAGGACAGCCACGTGATAAACCAAGTCATGTCTCAAACGGCTACGCGTGCACACATTTTATACAGTAATTGAAAAGTGGAAACACACAAACTGCTGTGTTACAAAGATGCTGTAACTTGGAACAAATCATTCACATAGGCAGGAAGTCTTGCAGTAATATATGTAGTGCTAGGAGGTGTTCTGCTAGAAAGTGTGTGGTCCTCCCTGAGACCAAGCCATAAATCTTTATCCAATAATTGAGAATAGAGTGCACTCCAAGACTTTTCCCCCTGAGCTGCTTTAACAAGAATATGAAGAAGACAAGGAGAGGACCCACATACTGGCTGTTGTTCAGCCTCTCTGCTCTGTTTAGACCAGGATCGGTAATAATGGATCAGATAATAAGATATTTCACCAAATTGAATTGTTTCACATCTAATTTGCATGCAGTGATTCCCACAACCGCTATTCTTTTGTCAATTTCTTCAAGGGGGAGTGAGGTAAAACTGCTCTGATGAGGAGCAGTAAGTGGTGTGCAGGGAGAAATAAGCTTCTAATGTGTTTCTTCCTTGCTTCCATTTGCTGCTGGCAAGGTTCAGAATTCAGCATTTTTGTCTCCAGAGAGCAAACGGAGCAACTTAATCAATAAAGATCAATAAAGAGCGTGCCATTTTCCTTTCGTTACTCACATATGGGTGATTTTCTTCAGAAGGAAGAAGGAATGCCTCTCCAGCCTCTGCAGCATCACGTCCACTGATATATATCTAAAAGAAATACAGAGCTTATACCAAATCTGAAGTACAAATTGCCTTTGTATTATCAAAATAATGATGTTTTCTAACCATCTGTTTAACTTGAAAGAATGCAGGTACTGTACCAGCGTGCAGGCGAAATACAAGACGTGCTTTAAAAAAAAGAGTTAGTGTGTGGCTCTCAAAATGATCCGAAAGCCTGCAACTCTTTCCTGAATTTATCAACCCACCTTGCCTAAAGCCTCCAAAGTCACGGGTAATTTTACAGGTATGCACCCGACATATACATTACCCAATCATCAGTCACTCTGCTCCAATTTGTTATTACTTGGTAACAAGAATGCTCTTTAAATAAACCATGAATTTAGCACTCGATCATCCTTCACAATGACTAGATGAAAACACAACGTATGTTCTCTTTACTTATATTACTTATAGTCTGACTAAATCTACCATGCAGTCATATTATCTGGATAGAGAGCACTCCTTGCTGCTAACAGAAAACTTCTCATCCACCTCCGTCTTCCTTCATGCATGACTTGGACGCAAATGTCGGACTCAGCGGCTGGGGATCAAGTGTGTATTTTAACTCTACACATCTCTACTGGGAATCTAAAATCACCACACACCCAAAACGCTCTGGAATACCTAGTCAATGTCCAAGCCCCGCTGCGGTCGAAGGACCAACATTCCTATTGAAGGAACGCATTAACGCTTCCAGCTGTGATTAGGAGCCAGCAGTGATGCTAACCAGAGAGCATATCATCTGCTTGGGGTGGGAGACAGAGAGGAAAAGGGTGGGCAGTTTGGAACTGGGGTAGGTTCTCACTTTTTAAGCAAAGCAGTTGAAAGGCAACAGGTGGACGAGAACCACTGTAAAGGGTTTGTGTTTGAATGAGTGCTGGGCAACGATTACAATTTTTTATCGCGATTAATCGCATTGTTATAGCAAAGTTCAATCATGAATTCAAAAGTAGTGTATTGTGCATTTTTATTTTAAAAGTACTGCTATATGAACAAAAGTGTAATAACATTTGGTTTGTAAACACTTTAAACAAATCAGGTGCTTGTTAACAGCAGTATTCCCTTTACACAGCAGCAGTTCTATCTCTTCACTATCTGTGCTCAGTGTGCTGACTTTATGTGAAACGTTCCACTGCTGTGCAACAGGAATAAAATGTTTCAGCACGTTTCATCTAAATGTCTGTCTTGTGTTTTCATGACAGTCAGAGCATGTGAATGCAGCTCTACTGTCTACTGCTCTATAATGCTGTAACTCCGAGGTGATGATGGTTACCCAGCGATGTCCAGTAGTCTCCAGTGAGAGCAACAGCTGGTGCGCGTTGTAACGCCTCGCTTTTGTAATCTTCTCCTTTTCATACAAGTCGTGTATTCTTCTTGTGATGGTGTGTCTTCAGGCTCATAGGTTGCGATCCTAAGAACGTTCCTCAGACCGACATCTTCAACAACACTAACCGGCTGCAGTGTGTTGCTCCACTTCTCTGTGGCATTTGTTAGCTTGTCTTGCTTTTGTTTATCTATACTTCTCCCACACGCTGCATCAACGTAGTCTGCCGAAGACTTCCTCCACTGTTTGTTTGGGTGATTTGCTGGCATCAGCGGTGTGTATTGCATTTAAAAAAAAACTGCGTTAATGTGCGATAAAATTATTGTCGGCGTTAATTCATTAATGCGTTAACGCGATAATAACGTGTTAACTTGCCTAGCACTAGTTTGAGCAGCAGTTAATAAAACGTGTACGAGCCTTGAATGGAATAATCCCTCTGAATAAATTGCCACTCACATCCTGGAGATGTTGACCATGTTGGCAAAGGCGTCTGTCGGCACTGATGACAGACGGGTCTCGAAAAGCCATCTGGTTGGAAAATAAAGATGGACATTTTAGTAGTCACAAACACATTTTACTCTCAATGTCTTCTAATGGCAATTAGCAAGGTGTTCTTTGACATTTACTAGATATCTTGGCAAATACGCTTCTTTGCTTTCTTGCAGAGAGTTAGATGAGAAGGCAACTCTCACATCTGTAAGGTGGGCTAAATATGTAGCTAACTAGAGCCAGCAGATGGTTAGCATAGCTTAACTGGAAACAGCTAGTTTGTCCAAAGGTAACAAAATTTGCTCACCAGTACCGTAATTGACACATGTTTTTATCTGTTAAAAAAAGTGTGATAGCAACATATTGTGGTTTTATGGTGGGTAATATGCTAGGCTACTTCCTGGTCAGGAGCTCTTCTTGGACTCTGTTGCCTGGCAATTGCACTTGGCCAAGAAATAGTCACCCCCATACCTTTTTGTTTTTACACTTTTTGTACAGACTAAACAAAGTAGATACTATGTGAGGTGTCAGAAGGTGATTTAGAAGTGCAGACAGGTGCTTTTTGTTCGTGTGGTACAGAGCAAGGCTAGCTTTTTCCTTCAGTTTCAAGTGATTCTGTTATCAAAATGTAAATTTCAAATCAATCATTTTCGTCTTTACAATTTTCCAATAACTCTCAACAAGAGGAGATCTAAAGGTAAGAGATGAGAAAAAAAGGGAAAGACAGATAAAAGCCCAACACTGATACATTTCAGAATCAGATGAAAGGGTTTTTTTAAGCACATGGTAAAACAGACTCTCCTGTAGGAACATGGGAAAAAACAAAAACCTGGATGTGACTGGACCTGAGCTGGCAGCCAAATGAAACAATGTCTGGGTCTGTTTAGAACAATGTTTCAGAAAAGGTTAGGACCTAAGTGTGGGATACACAGTTACACATTGTTCAGGATACATTAGTACTCAGTGTTACAGATACACTGTGAGAGCTGAGACAGAAAATATTTACAATCTCATCTATACTCCTATATTGTATCCACAAATCAAACCTTTTAGCTTTTTGCTGTTTTTGAGTAAAAGGAGAAATTGTTCAAAATTGGAAAAAAATCAAAGAGAAATAATTTGACATTTTAGGAATTACACTTTTTCAATTGTTGCTTAGATGAGAAGATAAATGTTACACCCTTATCTGTACTGTAAATAGCCTATAAAGCTATAGCCAAGAGATGGTTGGCTTAGCTTGGCATAAAGGCTAAAAGCAGCTAGCCCGGCTCTATCTAAAGGTTAAAAAAACAGCTGCTAGCTGTAGATTTATATTTAACATACAGAAATATTCGTATCTGACTCCTGACAACCAAAGCAAATAAGATTTTCTCCCAAAAACTTAAAGAGTAGTCTATATTGTTGGCACTTTTTCCTAGCTAGTCAAAATGTGTTATTTCTTTCCTGTGATCTTGCAGCAGATGTTGTTGTGGTGGATTTGGGAATGACAACATAGTAATAGAGGAAAGAGATAAGGATGGTAGCCACATGTGTTGATGTCATGTTGTTTCTCCAGAACCAGCCTGAAGGAGGATGCACATTCAGAGTTAGTTCCACTGCATCCTATCTCAACTGGCAACAGTGTGTGCATCCATTTGGAAACAGGTATAAAAAGTGACTCAGCCAAAGCGAGCATCTTCACGCACCTTCGGTTGATCATGGGAACAATAGACTAATTCAGAGCCTGAGATCTGGCCCGTGGGTCTGAATTAGGTTCTCATGGGGTGGGGGTTTAGTCAGTCAGTAGACACGGGAGCACAGCACCCTGCACACGCTCTGACAAACTCAAACAAACAGCGGGACACAGAGCAGACCCTGATACCAAACACCCCTGTCAGAACCGCGCTGTTTCACCACCGCGCTCAAACCCAAATAACAGCATGCATTTTCTCCCAGGAGCACGGGGAGAAGACCAATGAGCCCATCTCGGAGGCTTGAGGAGAAAATTACTCCCCCGACTTCTCATTTTGGATAGAAACTCGAGAAAACACACAGGATGGGAATTGAGTTTGAAGTGGGGAGAAGCCATACAATTCATAATATTGCCAGCGTTGGATTGACATCATAGCTGTGTTTACTATGGGCTCCGTCTCCTGATGTGTAATGGTCTATGGGGACTGGTAGAGAGGGTCAGTTACATACTCGGCTGCACATTCAACCTCCAGTGTGGTTCAATATAAATTCATGTAGAAATGCTTTCTAAAAGATAATTCCCAAAAGAATAATCCGTACTGTCCTCTCAGCCGGAACGCTTGGATATGCAACACACAGTTACCTTTTTATTTCATTTTTCTGTTCTAATCTTGTGTGTTCTGAGTGTACAGTAGCAAGCTAAAACAAAGTTGCTCTTGGTGGTGGACAGTGATTACCTTTTAAATTAGTTTTATTCTAGGTTTTATAAAATATAAAATGAGTCTTCTCCTAATTCCGTGAGGTAACTACTGCAGAAGTAACAGTAACAATTTCCATTGCACGATCCATTGGTACAAATTAATAGCTGGGGAACTGTCAGTATTTCCAGTAATCTCAGCTCATCATGATCAACGTGCCACTTCTCATTTTACAATTAATCCCAGTGCTCATCTGTTACCATTCAGGAAACAGCGTTTTCACTCTTTCAGTCAGTGTTATTAGATGAGAGGTCGAGGGACATCGAATATAACGAGTTATCACATGTTTCAACTCCAATCCAAAAATTCTGAAGTTTTTCAAAGACTGAAACTGCGGCGTTTTTTCCCCTTTTCCCTTGAAGTCTTTTTTTCCTCTTAATTATTCTCAAATGGTCCTCTCGGTTGTTTGAGAAATGTGCTGTTAAAGGTAAATATTGTATTTGAATGCATCGTCCAGACGCAGTCAGGACTCACGCTACGCAGGCTTTTAAGCGTGTCTGTGCTTGCCTTTCCACCTCTCTGCCTCCCAGTGACACATGCACTAACCTCCACACACACAAAGGACTCCAATCTCTAAGTATCCACACATGCATACTCACACACAGACACTCACAGGCGTCTGCTTTGCTAGAACATATTCCTCCACAAAATTATTTTTAACCAGACTCTTTCATTGATGAAGCAGGGGTACAGCACAAACCTCTACCAATGTTGAAAAAAAGTTGGAAAAGGAATATATTTCTCTTATTTGCTTTTTGACAGAGAGTTAGATGAGAAGATTGATGCCAATGAGAGGGGTATTGATCTATTTGAACTATTTCACCAAAAGACAAGGTTCCTATCATGTGATTTTTGAGTAGAATTTTGACCCCGACGAAACAAAGTCAAGTGACTTTCTAAGGCATAGTGCGTGGCTGGAGTTAGTAGGGCTGGACTGCACAGGACTGACCAGGGCAGCAGGGCCGTTCATTCCTCAGTGTGTGTAGTTTACAACAAAATCAAACTCCCTCACGCCTCATCTGCTAGGACATCCCGCTCAATACACAGTCTATTTTGGGCTTATTTTTCTCATCAGGAGGGTTGACAATCCCGTGCTTAGTGGCATGCTTTCATGTCTCTATCCTCCTGGAGGGCTCTGGGTAAACTTTGGGCAGGAATGTGAGGAAATCGTAGGGGACATCGGGGCACGTGGTCAAGTGAATTGGGGCAGTGATCAGGAGATAATTGTATGTGATCGGTGCTGTTGGAGGCGATGCAAAGTGGTGTTTGGGATTGAAGGATGGAGGGATGGTTATTAGTGAGCCTTAGATCAGTGCTTGTGAGGAATTTTGTGTAACTGGAACAGTAAGGGAGAGTATCAAACTGGTTATTTTCTCAACAACTTCATTAAAAGTTCAGCTAATACAATGTAACAGTACCGTCTGATTTATCACTAAAGAATGCTGATTTAAATGGAAATACCCTCCAGTTGTGTGTTTCCACACATGGCTCGGAGTCCCTCTGAAGGGCATGTGCTTTCATCACTCAAGGCCATGTCAAACTGGTCGCTCTCTGTTGCATCATTTCTGCCCTGTACTTAAGCAAATTAGGAAGCGTAAAAGCCCTGCTACATTTTTCAGAGGTGACCCTGACTTATTACATCATGTTGGCTCCCAGGATAACAAGACGACAGATTGCACACAGATCAGCTGTATGTTATCATTAAAAAAATATTTCTGTTGGTTTATTTGCCCTCTGCTAATAAGACACATAGCCTCCTCTCCACTGATGACAAGGGTTTTATTATTTTGGATTATCATCTTTGTAGTACAAAGTGAAGGAAGATGTAAACCTTGGATAAAACTTCTCTTCTCTTTTCTCCCCTTTACACTGTACATCATATCGATTTCTGGGTGTTTGTCGGACAAAATAAGCAGCTTGAAGGTGCCATGATGGGCTCTCACAAGCTGTAATGGGGATCCCAATTTTCTGACATTTTATAGTTTAAGCATTTATTTGAAAAAAATAGTCAACAGAAAATCACTAATGAAAGTAATCATGTTGCATCCCTAGCTGGCAGTAATATTATTATACTATCAAAGTATATACGGTTACTGGAAAGTGGACTGGGTGTACTTCACTATGTGGTGTATACTGTAGTCTGATAGCTGGCAAATAAGATGAGACCATTATCTAAATAGTGTGTGTCAATGTTAGCTTGGCTGTTAGTGAATTAGCATACAATTAAGAAACAATAGGCTATAAACAAACATCAAAGTTGAAGCTGAATGAATAAATGTGAGCAGGTGTGTTTGTTGTTTTTCAGAAATGTTCTTTTTCCTTTATTTAAATGTCTCTTGTCCACAGAGCACGCCTGCAGTACGGGCACTAAGGACCCTGAAATGTTCAGTCTTCTGTGAAATCTTCTGAAGTGGACATTCTGGGTTGCTTCTCTTTCTCTCTGATATGTTTCTCCCTCCATCCTCAAATATCTTGAATACAGTTAACCTACAATTGCAAGATTTAGGGACAATTGATAATGTGATGATATTAGATATTGTACTGTAAACTGTAATGCTGATTAAAGAGGCAAATGAAAAACCAAAAACTGTAATTAAACTCAATCCACCAACAAAAACAAGACTATATATGAGAAATTCAGGTTGTCTTTTTTATTTTTTATTATGGTTCCACTGGTGGAATAATGTTTTGTTTTTTTAAATCAATAATTAAAGCCAATTATAAATCATTCAAAAGTTTAGTGTTCCTTTAATGTATATCAGATTGGCTACATTCCACATGAAATCCAGTATCAAGTCACCCTGACACCTTTGGAACATAGCTTACTACATACTACTGAATATAATACCTCAAAATGGAATAACTACTTAACATCACAGACAGCCGCAACGTCCCTCTGGGGGCACATTGAAGGAATATTCAAGAAGTTATAATGATTTTTCCTCGGGGTTAAGATCACTTCACATTCAGAATGCATGAAAAAAAGCAGCAGAATCACTTTTGCAGATGCCTTTTGCACGCCTACTTACAGTGTCTCCGTGCCTGCAGGAAACCTGGGGAGAATACCAATGTCAAAGCAGGAGATTGTGTGAGTCTTCCACTCAGAGCACTCGCAGACAGCAGGGCAGGAGTCAGCCTCCGACGCTCCGGGGCTGATAGAGAGACTGACGAGCGTAAACAACGCGCACGTTATCACCTGCATGCTGGAGGGCTGCTCGCTGTCAGCTTCGGCTTCAAATATCCCCAGACTGACTTCTGTTTTTCCTTCAGAGTCCTCTTGATGTCCACAACAACACGTATTTATCAATTCAAGTGAAGCAGTCTGGTCTGTGGTGTTTGTTTTAGGTGTATAATCCTCAGGTAGAGACAGTGGTGTGCTCAGTGTTCTTGACAGGGCCCCAGGAGTTCCTGTGAGGCTGTGAAGGTGTAGATGCTGTAGGACGGACAGCTGCAGTTCTCTGCTGGGTTTAGAGGTGGTCTACAACTTGAGGGGAGGGTGGACTTCTGAGGCACTCTTGTGTTAGACTCGAGAATAGTTTTGTTCTTGTGTTATTGCATTCAGTTCTATACGGTGAATATTATAGTTATATTTGTCCAATTATGCCGAATTTATATATTATGCTATGTAGCTACTATAGTCAGTTAACATAAACTGTCCATTTCCCTATATAGCTTTTTCCATTATTTTCTTATTAACAGTTTGGCTTTTCATGTGCGAGAAACAATTCCCTTCTTTTCTTTCCTTTTTTCTTATCTTTTCTAACTGACAAGCGGTAACACTGGCGCTAACGCAAACCTTTGGACAATGTAGTTCACAAATAATGGATTCCCACACTGTTCCATGGTCGCGAGCCTACATTTCCCAGCGTCCCTTGGAGCTGCTGCGAACGGTTGTTTTCCTGCTCGGACGCGGCTAGTTCAAGTTGCCATATCACGGTAACCTGACGGTAACGCCAAGAGCTGCTCTTCTGTTAGCTATCACCAACAAAGCGAAACACCAATGGATCTCGTGTAACGTAGTTATAGCGGTATTAGTTATTCCCTCGGTACCCGCTGGGTATATACAGTGTTTTGCAGTGTTCACAGTATTGTTGCAAGGCTACATTAGTTGGCTAACGTTGGGTTAGCTAGCTAACGTTCATAGTAGTTGGTTTACCACTTGTTGCTAGCCAGCTGGAGCATCCCCATCAACAGTACCCAGCAACATGTTTGGGAGGACGGTTTGAATTGAAGCGCTTTGCTGGTCAGATAGCTTTCTGTCTCCACGGGTTGCTAAGGCAACGATGACAAAGCGCCCATTTCCGCTAGCTATGACCAATATATCGATTGTTAAAAAAGTTCAAAACCAGCCCAGTTTGTTCATTAATCTGATTAACGTTGCAGTCAACAGCTAGCGTTTTGTGCAGACGAAGCCAGGTCAATAATCGTCCGATTTACCTAGTCAGCCGTTTTTCGTCGGCTCCACCGTAAACCTGCTCTGTGCCAAACTATGGATACGTCCAGTGAGTCCGATTCATACGACAGGACCCTAACCCGGGGGCACAGGCCTCGGGGGCGTGAAGCCCACCGCATACCTGGCCGGGACAGGGGCAGAGCCAGCGGGCGTGGAGGTGAGGGTCGACCCGCAGACATCTCCGAGAAGATCAGCACACTGGCGACCACTTTACAGGTATTCTGCTCTGCCTCATGAGACAGACACGTCCAAAGTACACCAGCTTCCCTACACACCTGTTGCACTTTTGGGGTCTTTGTGTTTATTATTGTTTGCGTTTGTATCTAAACGTATCGAAATAATCCTTAATTAAACGCGTATTTTCTGTTGCAGGACACCAGTAGGAACTTAACCAAAGTAGACCGGATGCTGGGCCACTACCGGGAGCATACAGATGACCAGGCTGAAGCCATGGCACTGGTCAGACACCTGTTATGTGGTTTCATGTGCATATCCATAACATTTCAAAGGCAATACTGTACCGAGCTGAGTCCCTAGTTACACTATTTATGTTGTCATTTATGTGATATATATATATATATATATATTTGTTCTCTATTTAAATTTTTTTTTTTTAACCAGGTCTGTTTTTGCTTCTTAACATTGTTTGCTTTTAAACAATTAATAGTTTTACTAGTTTGTTGTTTTATGTCAGATTTGTTTCCCTGCACCAGCTAAGGGAGAACCTTGAAGAGTCCATCAGTCAGCTTCAGACACAGAGGGTGAGCAGACCCAATGGGGCTTCAGCTTCAGCCTCCACCCTGCATACCAGTGACCTGGAGGCTTGCTCAGGATCAGGTATAGAGTAAAGAAAGGATTTAGCTGTCAGCTGTCCCACTCATTGTAGTCTTGGTTCTGGATCATTTGCAAAGAGATGGAACATGAAGGCAGATAACACAGAAATAATACATGACAAATGTATTATTTGTGAAAAGAACATTTGAATATGTTGTGCAGTGAGTTTGTGTTTGGATCTCTGGCTCCTTCTTTAACACTTTATAACAAATGTAGATCTGTAATTTCAGATGGCCAGCGTTTCTACCCTACTTCTCCACTGAAGGACTATACAGGCACTCCAGGAAGGAGCCGGAGGTCTCAGTCTGCCAGTGTTCGTTTTAAAGACGCCAGCCTGTCAGCAGACAATGTAAGAATGGAGACAAACCAACCACCAATCAGTGCCACTTGTTACTGTCATGCAGCTTCAGGAAGTTTCCACAAGAGGGCACACTGAGTCAGGAATGTTGATATGATGCTAATCTTGAAGGGGCTTGATGATATTTTCCTTGAATGAGGTTTTGTTAATGAGAGTATTTAGGCATATATTGTGTTAAGGAGTCCATATTTATCTTTCATTCTACTTTTCACAGTGGTTGCAATAAATGTGCATCTCTGTAAAGGCAGTGATTGCAAATGCTTTTACTTTGCTTTGCTTATGTACAGTGTTTTGTCTTCTGTATCTGTCTGTGGCGGTCCCATATAGATTCACACTCTGCACCAGTCCCTGAGGGATCTGCGTTGTGACCAGCACAGACTGTCTGATGACCTGGACAGAGAAATCCTCAGGAGGAATAGGTATCTGAGGGGAGGGGCAAAGGCTGAACATCAAACTCTAGTTTTTTTGTTTCCACATAGCACATTGGCTAGCACACAACTGACTTCACCAGTCATTGTCATGGGGATTTTTAGAAGTAACTTGACCCTCCAAATGGTGTTTTGTTACCTGCCATAGTAACAAGTAGCATAAATAATCGTGATAATATAAAAGTGTAATTGTATAGCACTTTACAAAGTCTGCTTGTCCTTGAATTATTATTATTATTTTTTTGCCTGAACACTGGTTGAATGTTTGGATAAGGCTTTAGGAATTTAGTACACACTGCTAAAGTCATTCACACAGCGTCTCCTCTTTATTCCTCCCACAGATTTTCTACATTATTCTCCTCACTAACTTTGGCCTGGGCTCTGAATGTATATTGATCTTTATTTTTCACTTCCACTGTCCATAAAAAAAGTTCTTCGTTAGCTTTGAAAACAAATGTATAATTTTTTGGGTCTCTGAAATGTCTTTGATGAGAAAGTGTTAAAAGTGTCATGGGAGACTTAAAGAGACAACACTGGAAAGTCAAAAGGCAGGCAGCAGATCTCTCTTCCCCGGTACTGCTGACCACACCAAATTGATCCACAATATTTTAACATCTGAAGCTGCATAATTATTTTGAGTGGCATCACATTATGCATTCACATTCTGATCAATAATGTCCTGGCAAAGACTTTTTCAAAACTCTGATGTGTGAATATTTGTCTGCTTTTTATAGGTCTGATATTGACACCAGGCGAGCGATGGAGAACCTCACAGACAACACGACAACTTCCCAGAGACAGTCCTCAGTGAGTGTAGCTGTGTGTTTCACCACCAGTACTTTAAGCATGCCGTCCAGCTCTGTGGACTTCATTTTAAAGGGACACTTTGGATTTCTTGAAGTGGGGTTGTATGAGGTACTTCTCCATAGTCACTGTATTACCTACAGAGGATGGTGGTCTGCACGTCCCCAGTTAGGAGAAACAGACAGGAGTACCGGCATGGAAGCAAAGCAAGTTACAGCTCAATATCAATATCAGTTTAAGTGTGCCCCACATTACCATCCTCACAGAACACAGGAGTAGCTGGTCTACTGCAGCCTCGATCGGTTAGGTTGTGTTATTGTGTGACTTTGGTGTTTTAAAGGGCTAGTCCTCTTTTTCAAATGTTACTTCAGTGAAGTCCAACTTAAGCAAACGTTTCAGTATCATTTCCAGGTATGTGGCCCCTCACCTCACCATCACTATTTTGACAAATATGCTTCTCCAACATGTTTCATATTTTTTTATCTTGTCACGTCTGAGGATGTGTCAAGATAAAGGTAATAACTGTTTTTTACAGGTGGGTATGCTGCTTCCTGATTAGACGAGGAATACTTGCATCAGTTCTGCAAAAGATATATTTTTTTGTCGCCCACATTTAATTTCCTGTCGTCTCATTTATCATATCCTGCTGCCATCCCTGCACCGGTGATGACCTCAGATGCCCCCCTCTCACTGTCTGCAGGCATCTTCTCGCGTGGAGCGGTGTCTGCAGGAGCTGGAGAGAGAGATGCATCCTGAGCAAAGTGGCGTGGAGAGAGAGAGAAGGCCTGACCAGTGGGCGGCCATGTCTGACAAACTGCAGGAGGTGATACTCCACCTCACCACTCAGCTGCTGTTATCCCTCCATCCAACACCTCCCCGTTGACACTGTCATGTTCCCTCACATTCACAGAGAAGGGCGAAGAATAATCCAGAGGCAACATGAAGGCGCATCATTCAATGGAGGGAACATAACAATACTTAATTTGAACTTTATTTATCAGAGACAACACACATTCATTTGCTGTACCTGAGCAGGTTGATGTTATAATAAAGAGACACTTCGCAAAACAACATTGAAGCACATAGAAGAGCATAAATGAAGGGAAACCAGTTCAAGCACAAAAGACAATCATAACATTACAACAGACACAACTAAACATATATCATGCACACACACACGTATGAAAGAATAAAGCAGGCAAACAGCAATATCAGTCATCACAAAGACGTGCAGACTTCAAATACACTAAAAGGACACTGATTGACTTAGCAGGATAAACATATACCAGGTACCATGTTGGCACTGCTTATTTATGTGTTCCATTAATGTGATGCTGGGGCTCAGTGGAGAGTAGGGTCGTCCTTCAGAATCGGCGGTTCGATCCCCGGCTCTGCTAGTCGCATGTCGATGTGTCCTTAAGCCCAAAAGTGCTCCCGTAGCTGTGCCTACGTTGTGTGAATGTGCATGTGCATGTTATTTAGTCCTGATGGCAAGTGGATGGTAGCCCAGTGTATGAATGGGTGTGAACAGGTGAATGACGATATGTAGTGTGAAAGCACTGTGAGTGGTCGCAAAGACTAGAAAAGCGCCGTACAAGTACAGTCCATTTACCATTTAAAGGGCTGATTGTCGTATTGAACATTTAGTGACTGGTCTGATGCTCTTACTGTAGTTCAAAGCTTGATTGTATACTAGATCAGAAGTCAAGCAGTCATCACTGCATCCATGAATCATTTTACTAATACTACGAGCAAGTCAATGAAATCGATTTCTTTTTTTCACCATGAGAAATTTGCTGATGCAGATGAAGTAATTCAGCACACTTGCCTGTTGTTTATTCCTGAGTAAAAACACAGACCCCTGACATGTTCCACAATTTATGAATGCTCATATATGCTCACATATCTTAAGCCCTTCTGGTTGCCTTCTCTTGGTACAAAAACGTGTTCATGCGATCTTGATGGCGTTAAGAAATGAATGCTGAAACATTCTCAAGTGATCTTTGTTGAGTGATTATCTTTCACAAAAATAACCTCGGAGCAGATCACAGAAAACCATCAACTGTCGTTGAGATTAATAATCTTCCACACAATTAGACACAAGAGGTTTTTTATATTTACCAGTCACCTTGTGAGTCATCATTGCAATATGTGACACCTGCTGTATGAGGAACTACCACACAGGAGGTTTCTAGTACTTTGACAGGTCTGTCTGTGGACAGGTTTTGTCACTATGATAGTGTTGCATTCTTGTAAGATGCAGTCACCAAACTTGAAATGATGGCCGAGTTTGAAGATGGGTGAGGTCCAAGCAAGAGGTTCGGAAGGGGTCTCTGCCCTCCCACTTTACGGCCCTGGCCCAGTTTGGTGTCTCGGCTGGTGTGATCGCATCAAATGCACAAGATCTGATTCCTTTCATGTAGTTGGAACCTTCAGTAGTGCAAGCATCGGGCAATGTTGGTAAACTGGTTCATTAAGAAACATTTCAAACACTTCTGTGTTCCGTATTTCCCAACAGGTAACACTAGTCAATAAAAGTAAAACAGCATTTCTTATGCTATGGAATTGAAAATGCAAAATAAATAGAATAATAAGAAATATAATTGGCACATCAGGGTGATGTTGAATGTGCGTTAGCATGTTTGATATGTTTGCATTCACAGACCCTAAAGCGGTGGAGCAACGTCGGCACGCCGTCCTCGTCTTCTACACGTCTCTCTCCGTTGGTGTTGTAGCTGATCTAAAACCCGTAGGCGGGTCTTTCAGCTCCGGCATAGTGTGACTGTCTTGCACACCAGTAGCTTGTTGTACTAAATGTTGCTAACGGCGTACAGTTAAAAGTTTCATGGTGGAACTTGCGCTTGTAAACTCACAAAATCTCTGGATTTCACCGCACTTGTTGGGTCACTTCATAGTCGTCATTGAAGGGTTGTCTCTCTGGTGCACTGCAGGCCTCCCTGCTGTGTTAAAAACAGCCTTCACACTATGTCACCTGGCCCTCTTGCTCTGCTTTACGAGACTATAAACCACAGCCAGGCAATTACTTGGATGCAGTGCACATGGTCGCTCAGCAAGCAACTGCTACTTTCCCGCATTTCATGCCAATCATGTTTTTATGGTTTGTTACCTGTGTATTGGTTTCAAAGCATTAATATTTGAGCGAGTGTGTCATTAGGTGCACTTTAGGGATGTAGACTCAAAGCTAGATTCACTCCAAGTCAATAGATGCCCACAGTCCCAGTAAAGAACACATTATCTATTATTGCTCTCTTATGTTGCTACTTCCATTCAGCGACACAAATCAACCTTATTATACATCATCAGCATAATGTTAGTTCATTTTTGTAATAACACCATTTATTTTGAGGACAGCGTTTCGTTGTTTCTCTCCTGCCTGCTGCAGTTCATCAGTACACCACAGAGGGGCACTGTGTAGCTGTATCCACACTGATAACCTTTGGGAGCTACACTGTTCCACACACTTTGTAATGACAGTAGCTACCAATTCATTTGCATCCCTCTCCTCCGTAGTGCCCTAATGGGACACCAGCAGGGCCCAGGGCGATGTGAAATCATGCATTTGTCCAGAAATTAAGGGTAAATAAACAAGCATGAGGACATGAAGAGGAAAATAATCCCTTTTACTACTAAAGAGCAGGAGAGGAGGGAGAGCAGAGGGCACATTTATTCCCCACCGATGGGCCCGCTGTGATGTGAATCAAATAGATGATGAGTCACTTGGGTAGATGTTATTGCTAGCAGCCGGTAATTTATCATCGCAGCCCGCTCAGAGTGAGTGGGATTGAGTGGGATCTAAGCTCTTGTACAAATCCACCATGATGGCACCAAGAATATGAGATTGGGGGGGATGCCATGATGTAATAGCACTCTCGTGTTGCATTCTTACTCTACTCTTTTGTGTGCGCTCTTATAATGATGCATGCTGGGGCCTGTGTTTTGTAGACTTCAGGGAGACGCCAAGTTCAAGCCCAGGAGAGAGAGGAGGCAGTTCCAGCCAGGCTACTGAGAGCAGGCCGGGAGAAACCCAAGGTGAATATGTTTAAAAATGTTTTCATTTAAAAATAAAAGTCAAAACATTTGGTTGGTATTTTGAATTTAGTGCTATGAAAGTTTGCCTTAATACAGTTCCTTCCTGTTCCCTGCATCATTTTACTGAAGTAATAGTTCAAATTCATATTCTTGCTCAGGCAGTTATTTAATTACAAGCTTTTTATCTGAATATTCAATATTTAAACATCCTAATGGTGTCATAATTTTGCCTTGAACTCAATTTGTGTACATTGTGAATTCTGCACACCTGATGCTATACACTATAGGTAATGCTCATTCTGAACCTTTGACACCTCCACATCAGTTTCCAGGACACTACCTCATCATGTATCGTCCTGACTTTGTCATCGTTATGCTCTTCTCAGATGGAGCAGGAACTGGAGGGAGCTAGAAGACTACTTGAACAGTCTGAGGATAGCAGAGAGGCCCTTGTTCAACAGGTTTGTTAGTGTCTCTGTGTTCTCTACCTGATTGTACATGCAGATGTACAGTAAACCTCAGCAGACACAACAATAATCAGTGCAGCATCTTCTCAGAGAACGTCCGTATCCTTTCGCCCGCTGTGAGACAGTCACATGTCTTTCTCTGGTTCTGCTTACATGGCCGGCGACCCCCAGGTGGAGGACATGCGCGGCGAGCTGCTGAGGATGAGGAAGGAGAAGACTGAGCTTCAGCTGAAGACTTCTCAGCCCATTGCTCAGCCACATGGCAACCACACCTTCAGGGAGGAGGGGAGTGGTGGGCAGAGAGGCGCAGGTACTGAATCTAAGTCTGGTCTGTGGAGGTGAGGGAAAGGTGCATCAACAGGAAGACACAGAGGATTAGGATGCAGGTTAAATGAGGACCTAAATGGAACTCATCCATTTAACCGTCATCCAAATCCTCTGTGCAAAAGATTGCTATGAAAACTCTCTAAGTAACCAAAGAAATAGCTGACATTATGTCTAAGAGAGAAAATTTGGAGTAGCTGTAGTGAAAGTATTCCCTGTCAATGCCCCAATGTTTTTTTTGTAATGCTATTGAATTATGAGCATCAAAGGGCCTTAAATAGCAGTGAAAGTTTAAAACAACATTGATGGTTCTTATAAATTTGTCTAAAGTTCTATAGCAGTTCAAAACTAATAAATATGATTTAGGTTCACATCTGAATTTGACATAGATTGTATCAAATATGGGGAAATACTTAATGATGACATTAGTGACAATAGTATTTAGTATTTGTATATCAGCATCTGTGTTTGTTACGGAGAGTTTTGCTTCATTCGCATCATTTATCACTTCATTTATACTCTGTTCACGTCTGCCAACTCTGGGTCTGCCCCAAGTGAAGTGATTGACATGTGAGTCTTGCATATAAACCCCCTATATAGTCGGTAAAGAGGTATAACGAATTCAGAGCAAGGTTAGAAAATAAGTCAAAATGCTCAAATATTCATCTCATTCAAAAGATGTTGCAGTGTATTTCTTCTTCAGTTCTTGTCTCCACATGTAGAGAGATCAATCCTAACAACACTTGATTATGTGCCTGCATGTGTTCATGTGTATAGATCGTTTGAACCTGGAGAAAGAAGTGGCGGAGCTGCGAGCCCAGCTGCACACGGTCTCGGTCGTCAGCGAGGTGGAAGAACTGAAAAGGACTCTGGACCGAAAGGAGAAGGAGAGAGTCCAACTCAGCTTACAGGTGGAGGTGTGTATCGGAGAAGTTGTGTGATTGTGGGTATTTATACAAAACCTACTAGAGCTTATAACATCAGTGATTCAGAGAAGGCATTGCATGTCATTCTTTCGTCATCCATGTGGCGGTCTCTGCAGAATACCCGTAAGAATAGATGCACTCAGGATGTCTCAGCTGGAGTGCAAACGAACACACCAGAAGCATGCTATGGACTTTGTCCCTGTTAGCGTCTCCACCCTGAGCAGGGTTATTTTAGTTTGTCGGGTGCCTCTCATCCGTGGTCGCATCCTCCGCCAACTCCATGCCCCTTTATCCTCTTAAAATTGTCAAATGAAGTGACAGTCGGAATAGGAAATCAGAAATCAACCGCCAGTCGCAAACTGGTGCGTTGTGTCACTTCCATCACCGTAACAAGACATAAAAGCAAAACATATTCCCTTGCTAAGCAGGGGTATTCAAGGCTGTGCAGGGTATCAATAAAATGTTAGTAGAAATAGCTGCACTTTAAAGCATTGGCACATTCCTCTAATCTCTGATATTTCTCTCACTGAAAATGTGTTTAAACTCCCACGCTTCCCTTATTGCAGAGTAGGTGTTAAAAGATGAAGAAGGTGTTTGCATGTATCACCTGGGGCGTCTCGTATGGTTTTTATGTCAAGATCAAAAAAAGATGTTGGAAATGTTTCATTTTAATGGTAAATGAGTATAATGAGAAGAATAGGGTGGAGGATTCAATTTCTCAGTGACTGAATTCATATACAGTCTAATAGGCCTATGAGTAATCAGTCTATGACTAATACTCCTAACTGGCTGTTAGGAGTATTAGTCATAGACTGATACCGACAACATTTTGCTACTTTACCTGCCCTTACTGGGGACTTCAATCAAACTGGAAACTTCAAAGTGATTGTGATTTTCTTGTGGAGGAAGAATGAAGTTAATCCAGTGCAACTCTCCTTTCAGACTACTTTTCAGACCAGCCTTGCAGATAATCCAATAGTGGGCAGCATGACAGTCTGCACCTTCTTTGACCTTTCTGCCTTTGGCTTTTGTCCTCTTCTTTGCTCATAATAACCGCTCTTTACTGTTCTTCTTCTCATACCTATTTGCTTTTTTGCTTTTAAAATCAGTCTTTTTCTGCCCTAAACCCATTCCTCCATACCCCTATGTCTCCCTGTCTCCCGCCTGTCTGTCTTTTTGCTGCCATCAGCACTAGTAGTAGTCACACACACACACACACACACATGTCCTTGACCTTTCTCTTTTCTATATACCAGGACTTGTCATCAGACCTGGCACGGCGGGAGGAGCAGCAGCTACGAATGCTGGAACAGTTGAGGGAGATGCAGGTATTTTTGTATTGGTTATTGCATCTCACTGTCATTCATCAGCGTATAGGTCATTTATATCAAGGACTCTAAACAAAGGATGCTTGTTCTAGTAACCATTTGAATTGGAATCATGCTGTGTGCACTGTTTCATTCTGAGCCACAGGTTAAATGTAAAGACACTGTAAAGCTGCAGTCATGAGATCCTTGTGAATTAGGCCTGTTAGACCTTTTAGCATTGGCATGGCTAAAAAATACTGCTTCAGGTTATGAAGAAGGAATGTACACTTTCTTTATACATTGGCTCATCTTTCAGAGCCGAGGGCAGGCAGAGAGGAGGGAGACGGAGGCCTTGCTCCAGGAGAGCACGAGGAGCAGAGATGAACTGAAGACCAGGGCCCAGGAGGCTGTGCGTCAGTGGAGGGCAAAGTGCAGGAGACTACAGAAGGAGCTGGAGGAGGCGAGTGCCCAGGCTCAAGGCCACACTGACAAGACCTCACAGGTCGGTTGAGGCAGATTTATGCATTACAGGACTTCTGACACCACAGCCTACACTAGCAGCTGTGGCTAAGGAACTGCTGATGTGATGTTAAAATGTGAAACTAGTTTATCTTTACAACTCATTGAGTCAAGTGGCTGTATGCCAAGATATTACTAGTGCAAGGAGTGGAATTGTAGTACTACATTTGAAGTGAGAAACATTAGGGTTATCTCAGCTTGGCATTGAGACTCCATAAAAACAGAAAAGAAGAAGAAAGTAGCCTGTATTACAATCTGGAGGTGCAGGGTTTGAAAGACGTTGGCTTCTGGGATGCTTTTGAGTTGCATTATGGGAAATGTAAGGTCTGGATTTTGAACAGAACTAGGGACTAAAAGTCAAGATATCGCGGCCTTTGTTGCTTCTTCACCCCGTTCAGCTGTTTCTCTGTGATGTTGAGGCACAACAACCTCTGTGCCTTGTGTGTTTACCTAACTAGATTTAAAGAAGTCCAGATTTCAGGAAAGCACATTTTATAGGGATTTTATTTGACCTGTATGTATTTATGAAGTACCTTCTGAAAGCTACATTTTCCATCCACGTATTTGGATGTCCAGTCTTCGTTTATGGTAGTTTTAGTCTATTCAAACTAAAATCACTTCAGCACCAAGTATATTGACAAAGAAATATCCTGAAGGTTTGTCCCATATGGTGCAGATCAGCATTTTACATCAGTTACTTGATGGTAAAGCCTGCATGAAAAATGTACAATATGGATTGTACATACAGTTACATTGTTTAATAAACCAACTTGTGCCACTTGTAACAGGAAAGCAAAACTATGATTATTACACCTTAGCTAGAGTTAAACTAGCACTGTGTCAAGATAAAAACCAAAACTGCTTAGTCAGCTGCTTTATTTGTTCCTGTTGGCAATTGTCGTTCTTTTTGGCTCTTCTTTGAACGAAGTAAAAACTCTCAGCTGTTTCACAGAATCCAGACTGGTGAATCTCATTGCAGCTTATTGCCTCGGTATTTTTGGGTGCTGGTGGGCTACTGCAGCTCTGTCTCAGCTAGGCTAAAAGCTAGCCAGCTGGCAGCTACGTCAACAAACACTGACTGTCTTTGTTGCCTTCACTGAACAGTGGACTCTGGCTCATGCATACCTGCTTTGACTTTGACAGTGTGTTCTAAAAAGGGAAGTAATCAATAAAGTTTACTGAAATGCATTTCTCAGCTCCAGCAGTAGACTGATTTGTAGCGACGCCCCTGGCAGCGAGAATAAAACAAAACTTATCTCAGCCTAACTCTCCCTGAGGTTCTGCAACCCACTGACGTCAGAACACATCAGTGGAGGTGGAAGCAAACTGCTGCTACAACCGGCATCAGGGATGCACAGAACGTAGGAAAGTGACACAGTTTCTACTCTGTTAAAGGTGTGTTCATATGAAGCGGATCTTTCGCCTCACGTTACTCAGGCGAATACGGCCGCTTGAGGATTTCTCAACTCGCGAACATTCACCCCAGCAGCCAATGGGAGGACTCCCTCTGGAAAGGAAGAGGGGCTCACGTCCATAGATACTACATAACTTAGCAATGTTTAATTCCGCCATCAACCATGACCGAAATAAACACTATCACCGCCTCATACGTGTTGTGGAAGACCCAGATAGACCAGAAACTGTTGTGTCTGGGTTCATAACATTCTTCTCCAAGCCGTCTCTGTATAGTACAGACTTTGAGTCATTGAGCTCCCAGTGACCTCATGTGATGCCAAGAAGTTTGTCCTCCATTTCTGAATCTCGGTGAAGTCAGGATAGTCTAAATGTATTTGCGCCGCCTAGCGCAAATTCACATCTATTTGTGTCTTGTATGTAATTGTGCCGCAAAGAACAATCTGCTTTGTGTTTTGTCTTAACGCACCTTCACACAGATGCTATATTTCATATATGTGTAGCAGCTCTGTGTTCTGAGGGTACGGAGCGCATTCAATTTAATTTTAGATCTCAACATTTAAAAGAAAAAACATCAACACCCTGCTATCACTGGGGAAATACAGATGTTGAACTATTTATGAGTTTTCCTGGTCCAGTTCTTCCGTAGTAGAAATGGACTGGACAATTGGCAAAAGCAGCACCTTTGAAGTGTAATGATTGGAAAGAGGAGATATGAACACATACTGTATCTGTTGTAATCCATATGTATGTGGTTCACATGCAGTCCTCTTATGATGAAGAGAAAGAAACTGGTCTCAGTTTTAGAAAGATATGAAAGGAAAATGCTATTTAGAACTGGTGAATACCTAAAACACACCAATAAGTAATGAAAATGGATGCATGCCTTTCTCTGTTCATTTGATTTCATACTTTGTTTTATCTGAATTGCATAGAGGGTTTTGTATCAAAGTCAGATGAGAACTCTTGAATATTGTATTTTTAATAGCTTAATAATGATATAACCAAACATGAAGTAAAGTGGTCTGAGTACCTTTTTACTGTACCTTACAGTGGTTGTGCTTTGTTGAATAATTAAAGGCTGACAATGATTATTAGTCACCTCCCAGTGATTTCCATTCCATTTGAACTGAATGAGTCACCTCAAACTCTCAGTCAGCAGCCTCGCTCCTCTCAGTCAGACAGACAGACAGACAGACAGACTCCCACCTGGCTTACTCAACGTTAATTACAAAATCATTTCTGCCCCCTTAATGAATTAGGGGAGAGAATCAAGTGCTCAATTAAATGATTAGGTTCTGAGCTACAGCAAAGTCTTTGCAAATTCCAGTCAAAGCCAGAGTATTAGAAGCAATCTGCCTTGAACAGACCTGACCATTGTCCCTTATCAGGGAGCTGAGAGCGAGCGCTTTCCTATCAGTGCAAGAGCTGCTACTGCATGTTTCTCTGTCACTCTTTCTCTTGCTCTCATCATTATTGTTAGAGCTCCTTTTTGTACACCATCTTCTGCCTCCTCTTCATTTGTCAATCTTCATTTCCCTTCTCCTCTCCCACCCCCCCTCCACACCCTCTCTGCCTCTTTTGCCCCTGCTCTCTCTTTCTCCCTCCAGGCAGCCAGGGAAAAGGAGAGCTCCCAGGCCCAGTTGAAGGCGCTGAGCCAGCAGACTGAGGCGGCCCGCAGGGAGCTCGCTGAAATCCTAGGGCGATTGGCCCAGCGCGAAGAAGAGCTCCACCGCAAGGACGTGGAGCTGTCCGAGACTCGTCAGCGCCAGTTATCACTGGAGCAAGAAATGCGGGAGGTATGGGGGATTGAGCATCTAGCAATTGAAAATATCGTTCAACTCACTAGAGACACAAAAAAAGACATGTTATTTGTTTTACTCGTAGGACCATAGACCGTGGGTCAGCATTTAGAAGTCGTATTATTCCATCAGGCTGAAAGTCTAGTTCATTGATTGGAGACCACTTTGACTTGTCTTTTCATAAATGACAGCAGTCAGCACTGCGGTAGAAATCAAACAGTATCACACTACCACCATGAAGTATGCTGTGTGTCATGTAATGATGACACCTTTAGTAGTCAGCAAGCATTGAAGTCATGCAAAGGTAGACATATCAATTCTGTTTTGCAAAATACATTTTTAGTGGTTCTAAGCACATGAGCATTTGTGCAAAAATCCCAGTTAACCACAGGCATGGCTGGAGATTTGATTTAATTATTTTGGCAGACCAATTTGTCATGTTCATTTTGAAGTGTTGTTAAAATCAAGAACATAATGACACCTCAGCTACAGAGTCATTAAAAGAGCTTTGATCAGCCTCTAACAGATTCTAACCCTAGGTGAGGGAGGCCTCCGCTGCCCTGGAGGAGGAGGCTCAACGTCTGGCTGCTGCCCAGACAAGACTGAGGGAAGAGAACCAGAGGCTGGAGCAGAGGGCTGACACCCAAGCCCGTCGGTGCCAGATGGACCAGGACACACAGGCCGAGCTCCAGGCCGCCTTAAAGCAGATGACCTCAGCCCATGCTCAGCTAATCCAGAGGTTAGCTGAGGAGGAGAGCTCCAAGCAGAACCTCCAGAAGAGCTCCCTGGAGGTACGGGCCAAGCTGACAGCAGTGCAGGAGGAGCGGGCCGCACTGGGGCAGCAGCTGCAGCTGGAGAGAGAGGTGCATCAGACAGAACTGGACAACATGAAGGCAATGATGGAGGACAGCAGGACAAAGAAGTATCATGATGTGCAGGACATGCTCAAGCTCTGCCACCAGGAGAGGGATGCAATAAAGGCACACATGAAGGAGGTTAAGGTAAGCTCTTTTTATATATAGTAGTATAATTCCATGAAGGAAATGTGCAGTTAAAGAGTTTGCCATTTGGTAAATTTACTTATTTGCTTTTTGCTTAGTTACATGATTCAGTCTCTCATGTCTCTACAGTAAATATGGAGCCAGCATCCAGCTTAGCTTAGTTTAGCATTAAGGCTGGAAACAGCTAGCTCGACCCTGTCCAGAGGTCTGGAACCAGCTGCTACTTGCCTGGCATCTGGTCCCAGCCAAGAAATATCTGTCATAGTCACTTCAGTTTTTGTATAGATTGAACGAACAAGATGTGTTTATAAGCTTTAGAGCTGCTGGTAAGTGAATAAGCTGTTACAATTACAAGAGAGACAGTCTCTGGTGTGCAGGCACGATAACGTTCTGCAGCAGTGAGATGGCCAACAGGAAGTGTCGTATACACAGTGCATGTGTAATCTGACCCACCCCGTTCTGATAATACATAATTGTATGTTATAAACCAGTGGTTCTCAACCTGTTTTGGGCCAACGCCCCCATTTCCATTATCCAGGTCCCTACTGGCCCCATTCATTACAATGTAGGCTAATTGTCTCCCCTTAATATTTGTGTTGATTATTATTTTGTGTTATCACTAAAAAAGCATAAAATTGAATGCCAAATAACAGATCTGATGAACCTGGATAGTTTGAATATCATTATCATTAGTTTCCCAGGCAGCCAAAAAGCAATGTTGATTTTTTTCCCCCTAGGAAATGTTGAGCGTCTAACACTTCATTTCCTGCATTCTGGTGAATTGTTATGCACCAATTTATGGTAGAAATGTTTTTATTTATGTAAAGGAAAACACTTAATTCAGGAGGTAGGTGACAATACAAAATATAATGCAATATATTGCAGGAAGGCCAGGTTCCCAGTGGAAGCCTCAGGATTTGCCCGTGATACTCGGCCGGCTCGCCATCTTCACCAATAGTTTTGGCGTCTGCTCTTTTTTCTCAGTGTGCCGTGAGCTAATCTGGCAAGAAAAAAAAGATATTTTGATCTTTTATAGGATATAAGTAATCTCATGATCTCTGATAAATGATAAATAGGAACCCCACCATTTGACTTTCGTTCCCTTTCTCCTGAAACTAACAGAAAACACTGGATCAGGCATAAATCTCTCCATTGTGTGGCTTATTGTACATGCACATGTTAACTTCACCACCTCAAAAGCTTTAAGAAGCCCAGGCAGCGACAGAGCTACAGGAGCGAGAAAAAGCTTCATATGATGGTTAGATCAAGTCTAATACCACAATTGTGAAAATGTGTATTCGAATTTAGGACTAAGCTGGCATTAAAACACAGACACACAAAATGCCCCCCCCCCCCTAAAAGATATAGCCCCCCTGGGTGCTATATAGTATAGTAGCTGCTCGCTAGGATGGATCAATGATGAGGTACTATTTCTCTGTGTACTGTGCTGTGTGCATGTGTGACACAGCAGTTGACGGTTGATTTGATTACAGAAAATCTGAAATCTTTGGAGATGTCAAGGTCATAACCCAACCAAAGAGAGATGTTTTTTTCTTTGCACCCAGGCACGGATCACAGAGTGCCACACTCTAATTGACATTTAGAGTATCATTGGCACACACTACGAATTCAGCATAGGGTAACGTGCCTCAGCCACTCAACATCTGGCGTATTTCCGACTCAGCGAGACAGACAAAATCCTCATTTGGAGTAATTTTCCTCATTGGCCTGAGCTCTGTACTCTGAGTGCGGGTGAATAGAGGATAGCTGAGCTCCTAATGGTGTGTGGGGCCCCGTGGATCCTCATGGCCATTCCAAAGCTCCAAGCATGAATATTTAAATCCCCGATATCAGACCTCAGAAGTCTCATCAAGGCAGTGCAGGAGATAGGGGATTCCACTTGACTTCCTCCCCCTGTGCCCTCCCCGCCTCCCTCCTTCCGTATCTCCAATGATGAGCCCTCCCGGGTACATTGTTTCTTAAGGGGCATGGTCCTCCCTGATATGGTTGAGCTTAGCCCATTAGCGCTGCTGAATGGCATTAATATCTGACATAGCTCATTGTAATGGTGTCATTTCCCAGCGCGGTAAGGACAAGGGCGTTTGCTAGAATGTTTTAAAGTACCAGCCTACGGGTGCTGCAGATGTCCCTAAGAAGCCCACCCAATATTCACATAGCATAGCCAGAGGCCTGTATTACGATTTTGATACCGTCAACTGTCAGAAAAAGCTAGAAATATTCCTATTTTCTTGTCCTTGTCCTCTCACTCTATCTTCTCCCTCGCTGTCTCTCTTTGTCTTAATCCCTCTCTTACTACCTCCCTCCAGTTCTCATTCAGCATTTTCCATCTGTTTTTCCTCTCTTCTCACTTCCAGCAGTTCTGTTTTTTTCTGTGTTTGTGTCACTCCTGTCACTCCCAGTCCTCAGCCATTGTTGTCCATTCCACTTTACGATATCTTCAGCTGTGTGGTGATATGATCATTGTAGATAGACAGCTTATGTCTGAGGCTGGGTTTTCCTTTGCAAGCTTCAGCTGGACTGAGACATGAATTAAGGATTTAGATTTGCCATTTGAGATAGATTTGACTTGATTTCAGAGTCTTGGAATGGCATTTACCCGTTCACTTACACGATATTCTCTGTGAGGCACAGAATGTCATGTCAGACCTTATTGTGAATTCACCCAGTACCTGCTAGTTTTGACTTAAGCTCTTTTACAAATTGTTAGGGTTCACTGGCATATTTGTCATTCTGTACATATGATCCACAAAGCAGCATTTATGTCAAAAGAATGGCTACTTTGAAAATGTATGTGCACTATGTAATCATTCTCCCTGTATATTTTAGAGCTTGAACATCCCAGAAAAACAAACTGCGACCTGCTTTTAGTAGATCTTTTTTGCAGCAGATAAACCATCAGTCCTTATTATCTCAGATTATTGGCCTTAAACACACCATTCTCTCCCAGGCAGACGCAGCCTCAGACAAGGAGCTGTGTGGGGCGCTGCGCATCAAGTTGGACAGGATGAAGGATGAGTGTGATAAGCTGGCAGCACAGCTGAGCACAAAAGACCAGGCACACACACTTCTCCACAGAAAGTACCAGCTACTCAAACAGGAACTGGATGACAAAGTAAGCCCTGCCTTATTTGCCAAGTTTTTCAAACATACTGACTAACATTGAAAACGGCGAAACTTCCAATAATATTTATGCTGATTCTAATTAATCGTGGCAGATAAAGTCCAAGGACAAGTCCAAGTCCAAGGACATTGACAGGAAAGACAACTAAACTTGTAGACATGAGTACCATCAGCATCCATTGTATTTTTAATAGAACCATGCTCCTCACTGAATGTCTTTCATATTGTAACTTTGGCACCTTATTTTAAGCCATTTATGTTGCACACAAGGAGAAAAACACCAGACATTTGTTTATGTAAAGATAACACATAATCTCTAGTGTAAAGGACTGGCTATTCATGCAGCGGTCAGTAAGGTATTTACTTTGTAAACGAATGCTGGATAAAGTACGACCGCGACAGGAAGCATCACGTTAACATTTTAAAGACACTACTTTCCTCACTTCCTTCCTGGCAGATCTAGGATAACTGTAAGGTCATGTGATCATATAAACCTACGAATGGTTTGAAAGGTTAAGTGCTGCCAAATCAGCACTATTTTTAAAGGGGCCCTATCAATACGCCCCCGGTGTTTTACAGCAGCAGATGAAGTATTGAAACCCTATTCACTTCTCTCACAGGCCCCTGATAAGTCGCATGGGGCTCTGTGGGGATCCATGTATTGATTTAAAATTGGGTGAATGGGAATAGGGGCTCTTATTAATGTAACATGGGTGGTTTATCATCCCAGAGACAGGATAATGATCCACAGCCCCTGGGCAGCACTGATCAGTGGGTTCCTGTGCCTCGGACATATTGAGCGACTGTGTCCTGGTAGGGACCCTGAAACTATTGACGGTGCAGGTCAGAGGAGGAAACTTAACTAGTCTGTTTGTGTGAGTGGAAAGTGAATGGCTCTCTGATGCCTAGGCTGTGTCTGTCTTTCTGCATGTGTATTATCGAGTCGACTGTAGAATTAATCTTGTAACAAGCAGACCTCCACTCATTTACAGAGAACTTGCTGTAATTAATATCTTTCTAGTGCCTTGTGAGATTCAAATAACAACACTGAACACAGCAGACAGCGATGGCTAATTAGAATCCACCGCTGCTCGGCTCTCTCCCATCCTCCACAGGTCAGGTCGGGTGAGAGGAGACGCGCTTCAGAGTCCGGGCTCGTTAAGCTGGAGGAGAAGGTGTTTCGGATGGAAGCAGAGCGAGAGGCAGTCCTCACCTCCATGGGTGAGGAACTAGATACAGCCTGTCGCAGCCTGGCTAAGAACGGTGAAGACAAGCTACAGGTATTTACTTTGGTTTGTTGTGTGTGTTTAAAGCTGCATATATCAATGCTGGCCCCTCTGGGGATTCAAAACACCCTCACAGACGCCGACACAGCACTGGCTCGTTAGTGAACATGTTTACTCCCCCAGCAGACACAGATCAACATGAGCATTCCGTTGGAGATGTCCAATATTGACTCGCTATTTAGCTCTGATGGTCCACCAACTCTGAGAACGTTCTGGACCAGTTGCTTGTTTACTTCAGCTTTTTGTCAGTGCATGCTCGGCAAGGAGCAGACACTCACCTGAGAATGGCTGCATACAGTTTAGCAGTATTTGGGAAGGTTGGTGAGAGTTGTGGAACTCAATATTCAGTTCGTGTGTGGGCCAGAGAACCAGAACACTGAGGTAAAAGCTGCATAGAAGTGCATACTTTTAAGATCATCTCACTTTGCTTTAAGTGTTAAAGTTTGAAATAAGTCCCAATGCTGAGTTCAAACTACGTGTGACAAAAGCAAGAATATGACGTGGCTAGTTATGTTGTCTCCGAGTCTCTTTTGAAGTGTTGCTCAAGTGCTTGTTGATGTATTATGTCGTTAAATAGCACTGGTAACGGGCTAATGACGGAACAGAACAGGCTGAAATAAATACCTCATGATACCCTTCTTCTCTTTAGAAGCACTAATGCAACAAGTTGTAAGACAGAGTAGCGCTTCATTGAAAGTTAAGGAAAGTTAAAAGGGGTAGAGCACTGTCATATCAGAGATGTGGAGTTTACTGGCTGTTGGCAGTTGATGAAAGGAAGATTTTAAATTGCTAAGACCACTTTCCGGTTCACCAACGAGTTAGTGCACATCTTCAAACAGGTCTAGAACCTACATTTTAATGTCATGTTTGACAGGTGTTTTTTTACCTTAAATACTTAAACCTCATGGGGAATCTAATGTTAGTTACCTCCCTGTCTTCTGGCTCAAGTGAGAACACACCATGTAACTGAAGTTCTGTGTGTGAGTGCATCCTGGGAGATCAGTAGGGCTGTGCTGAACAGTTTGAATCTTCATTCAGAAGGTTGACAGCACAATTCAAAATTGACATTTGAATGCTGTGCAGCTTCTTAATTTGTTGCATGTCTATTCATTTATTCTCAACTCGGTATAAGATCAGGCTACACTCATATTATTATTATTATACTGTTTTAAGAATTAGATTCCAGTAGCGGCTTCATAGTTTGTTTCCAACTCATGTAATTCAAACATTTCCAAGAACTCCAGTCTAAAAGTGCGAATTTATTGAAAACAAAATTAATGTAATAATTTCCAAAATTCACAGCATGTTTTTTCTAACAAAAAAATTCTTCTTCAATCCATATTTGTTGTCCTTTTAAAAACAATATTTTCCCTGTGGTCAGAAAACAGTTTGCTCTCTCGCCTGCTGCACACAAAGTGAGGCAGTGATCTAACAGCACCGTGAATTTATACAGCCACAATCACCCAAAATCTGTTTTTAAATATGGCGACAGGCATTCAAATCTTAGTTCTAAAACCTCAATAGAAGCTTTTAAGGTGAAACAATTGACATTCGGTACAACCCTAAACATCGTCGTTCCTGTCTCCTTTCACTTTAAGCTGTTTAATAAAGAAAAATGCCTCAGCAGTCATAATCTCAACAAAAACATCTGGCTTTGTCCTTTCCACTTGCTGTTACATCTCCACCTTTTGCTTCTCTCTAAACCTTGCCATCTTTACCATTTCCTCAGCGGGGGGTGAAACAAACAAACTGTAACCACAGACTCCCAGTCACAGATGTACTCGCATTCTGAAAGAGACGTACAAACCACGCAGTCACACATTTAAATTAGCCGTGGAAGACACTTGGATTCTACGGCGGTGCTGCTGAGAAAATAGTGGCATTCCTTTCACTTCAACCCCACAGACGGCACTTTCAACTCCCAGCCTACTTGTTCAGTTTTCAGCAGTTTCACCTCCTTTTTGTCTGCCACTGCAGCGAGCTGCCTTTGATGGTTCGGCAAAGAGTGAAGTGAGCACGAGGCATAGAGGCATGTTTCATCCTCCCACACTGATGCACGCTCTGCCACGCGCTTGTACACTCCCCGAGACGGAGACCTCTGCACAGCAGTGTTCCATTGCCGCACTTTGAGCTGCCGTGGCAACAACTTGGGATATTCGTTTTGCTTGGATCTGCTTTTGAATGACAGCTGGAAAATGTTGCCTGACACCTCTGCAGTGACGATGTTGTTTGCCGAGGCGCGGGACATAAAGGGTCCAAAAAAACAATCCTGCTGAGTGCCTTCCATGTCTGTTGATCATGGGTAAACACCTTGCCACAAGGGTGTACATGAGAAAATAAAACCAGTGGTACTTTTTGTTGACTTTGTTCGTGGCTGTGTGACAGTTTGTCCGTGTGAATTTGGGTTGTTATGTCTTCTGTCTTTTTAGTTGTGACCTATGTATGGGAGTTCTGGTTGTGCTCTGTCTCTCTGTGTGTTGGGAGGACCGCTCCCTATTAATGGATTTACACAAAAGCTTTTGGAAAGGTTTGACATGGGCAAAGTAGCAATTATTTACTTCTCATATTCCATAGGAGCATATGGCTTTCATCTAATAGGCCCGTACCTTTGGATTAATCCATGTTAACCCCATAGAATATTTAGCCTCACTGGCAGTGTGGCTTTAGGATTGGCGCTGTCAGTTGGTGAGTTCACCACTTTAGTCCAGAATGAAATATCTCAACAAATACTGGATGGATTTCCATGGAATTTGGTACAGACATTCGCCACCATGAGGTGGACATTTATAAGTTTGAGTGAATGTATAGATAGCTATTTGATGGATTGTTATGAAAGGTGGTACACACATTTATGTTTCTGTCGGGATGAATTGTAACAATTTTGGTAACACCCCTGAATACTTTGGTTTATGAGAACTAATGACATTTAAACTTTGTAGCATGAACAGTGTATTCTGACCTAAAGATAAGATCATTGCCGCTATGATAACTTTCCTGAGTTGTACAATCCTGTGTCTGTGTTACAAACACAGGCCTCCATATTCATGGCTCGTTTACTGGACTTCCTGGAACCTACTTCATTTCATTGGTACCTGATGCAACACCCCCCCCACCCACCCACGCAGCCCCTTCCGTTGTTATAACACAGGGCTGTTTTCGGCATGGATGTCCACTTAGTTGTGTGTGAGCCATTAGTAAACATAGGATAGCTGCAACTCTTTCCAAAGACACTTTTTCCAAAACCTTGTGCAGTGGTTTCAGTGCAGCCCTAACGGCCCCTGTACAAACGCAGACCTGACTGTGTACATGGGGTTACAATGATAAACCAGAATGCTTAAAACGTTCCATTTCAGGAACTGGCATGCACGTGTGCATCTCCTCATGTGAAACAGGCAGGTAATGAAGCATAGAGCAGATTGTTAACCTTTAGTGAATGTTCCACATGTGGAGCTGGCACATCTCAACAGTTGCACAGTGTTGGCGCAGGCGTGCTCTCGACTTAAGGGCCTTCTAGTTATGTGACTATTTATCTGTGTATCTGACTGGGTTTTATCTTAAGCATGTGTTTCTGTGTGTGTGTCGGCAGTCATTAGGAGTTTGTATTGCTGATGCTGACAAGCTCTGGGAAGGATAGAACATAGTCCCTGAGAGCTCATTTTGATGACACACACAACCTCTGTGTGTGCACAAGTGCAGTGTTGTGTCAGAGGCTGTTCAACACACACGCCAATTTAAGTTGGCAGAAGCCGTTCTTCACAAAAGTGAAGGGTTTGACAACAGTTCTGATATTGATCCTGTTGTTTGTCCATCCACGTCACACTTTCTGCATTTTGTAACTCCTCTGATGCCCCTCCATATATTTCTGTCAATTTAGACAACCTACTGAACCTGCATAGAAGCCTAACTACATAATCTCTTGGATTTGCAATCCTTTCCGAAATAGTTCTCTTTAACGATCCGAATGTTTTGTAATGCATGCTTACACAGGCAGCTCACACATGCATTAATCTCTGTGCTGTTTTGACAGGCGATCTCCCAGAAACCTGGATTAGTGAAAGACCCCCACCGCTGGCTAGCTGAGACAAAGGTATGATTATTACATGTGCTGCCTTCCTTACGGGGATTTGCTCGAAATAATCAATTATATAATTGAGAAAGCACAAGATTAAGCACGTGACACTGTTACAATGAAATCATGCTCATTCCCAGGCCGACACCATATAGAAGATTAATGTAAGAGGACAGCATAGTCTATGTACAGTGTGATTTGGTCTTTGTGGAATTAAAATAATCTTAGCAACCACATATGGTTGCATTTCTGCTTGTTTAAACCAACATGTTACCGTGGCATAACCTCTCAGTAAAGCATTATTTATAGTCGAGGACAGCAGCTGAGCACTGCTGTGTGCTGAGAGTCTGCAGTGATCAGAATGAAACTGTGAAGTTCAGGGATTTGTGACAGAATGTCTCTCCATAATAATTATCAAGGACAATAGTAAATTGCACTACCCTAAGAAGTCCAGTCGTAGTGCACTATTTCAGTGGCTTTCATCCCTCTATGGCAGCATCATGGTTATCACAATGTTGTGCTTTAGTGAGGCTCTTCTGAGAGGCTCTTCTTCTTTAATGTGTGGCCTTCATGCTGTAATAGTTGTCCCTTGGTTTCTTTCCAAGACAGATCAGTTTCCATTTAGTATTGTAATGATGCACTGTACAAATACAACATGGAATTATGACTGTGATGCATGATACTTTGTTAAAATGTGTTTGCACAACTCACAGTGTTTATCACCATAATGTATGTCTCCTGTCAGAAATGCTTTCAGAGCTCTGTGCATTTACAAGAATAAAACGCCAGAGAACAAGCGAGATAATTAGCTCCTTAGTTAGCAGTTTTGATGTTATTAAATCTAAGCATGATTTACAGGCTTGTAGAACTCAGCTGGAATACACATTGAACCAATCCTTTACATGGCCGTAACAACCCTTTAACTCATTTACATACCCTGTTGCTGACTGTACGCTCCACACTACTCTGACTGGGCCACTGAGCTTTTAGCACACTCATTTTGACTCTTTTCTGAGCATAGAGTTTAACACCATGGTCAAAATGATAAAATAATGATGGACTATGTTTTGTGTTCGAAGAGATTTCCAGAGAATTGTAAACTGGCAGCCTGGTGGCACTGGGGCAAAGAACCTTTTAGATAGAAGAGCAATTAGGATGCTTTAAAGGGAAAACAGAATTCTGTCTTGCTTTTCTTATATCGGACAGTTAAGGTGACTTACTTACACTCATTTGCACTGACGTAGTCGCCATGACTTTACCCGTTGGTTTGTGGACTGCCGTTTTGAAGCCTCGAGTTTTGTCTCTCGCCCTCTTGGATTACGGCCGTCGCCATCTTGGCTTTTTGCAACCAATGAACAGAAGTGACCATATTTTGATTGAGGAGTGACTTAGAGACACTGTATACAGCTCTGGTAGAGACCTGTCAATCACTGTGTAGCCCCGCCCTAAAGCATACCCTGGTTTATGGTCTGTTTGACTCTAAATGGACCATAATGTACTAAATGAACATCATGCTGTATTGAAGAAGACTTGAAACTAGAGATTGAGACCATAAACTCATGTTTACAATGTTTACTGAGGTAATAAATCAAGAGAGAAGTAGAGTCATTTTCTCATAGACTTCTATACAACCAGAGGAGTCGCCCCCTGATGGTCACTAGAGAGAATGCAAGTTTAAGAAACTTCCGCATTAGCTTCACTTTTCAGAACCGGAGGTTGCCGCCTGGCTTAGTGTATTGGTTCCCCCTCCTAATGCCCTGATCCCCTTAAGTCTTGATTAAAACCTTTACCATATGTACCAATTCATACGTACCAGTGAAGCCCATCCTACTTCACACCATTGATTTTGTATTCACTTAACCACCCAGACCAAGATCCGCTGGCTGTGTGAGGAGGTGCGGGAGGGCACCGCAAGAGAGCAGTGCTTAAGGAAGCAGCAACAACAGACCAGGGATCAGTTGAAGGCCCTCAGGCAGAGCCGGGACTCAGAGCAGATGGCTCTCCTGCAGCGCCTGGACCAACAGGAGAAGCTGCTGCACTCCCTCGGCTCTGAAAAGAGAGGTACGTACACAAACGCTGTTTATTAATTAGAAAACATACCTTTGTGTTGATTTCTCTGAGGGTATGATATGTGGGTATAGATTTGTGTAGTGTTTGTTTTGCTCCAGCGGTGGTACTATCGTCATCAAAGCAAAACCACGCTATATAACAGCACAGCATCATAGGAGACTAATTAGGCTATGTGTTCTTTGTTGGGCAGCTAATACCTGATTAAAGGAAGCATTGAACAAGAACTGTTGAATTATCAGTTGGGAAACAGCGTGAATACTTAGCAAGCTCTCAATGGAAATGGAGTTATTCCTTGACTGTTGGACCAATAGTGGTTTTGATTAAACCTAGTCATACGTTGACTTCCTGTTTTCTTTGTTAATTGAATTCAAACACACCGTCATAAAAAGCAGTAACTAATTAAGTGACTGAAGGTTTTTTTGTCACTGGTGCTTGTTAAAATGGCTGCCTGTGCCTGTTCCCTTTGCATCTGATGCGTTGTTTTTTTAGACCGTGCACACTGGCCTGTCTGTTTAGGATTACAAATGTTTGAAAAAGCATCTTAATGTGTGTGAACTTTGAGAACTTCTGTGGAACATGGACTTGTTTTTTCCCGTCTCGAGTCCCATTTTTGAGTGAATTTCTCCTAATGAGCTGTAACTGCCAGAGGAAGAACAACTTGTTTTAGCGCTTCATCTGAACAATGCAGGGAAATGGGCCTAAGTTGTGTTCCATTAACAGAGAGAAAGAGAGTTTAAAGGACACAGAGACCATAGAGAGAGGTATAGTTAGACATGGACACAGAGACAATCCACTGTCCATCGTGTCGTTGTGTTTTTCAGCTGGAGTGGATAATTCTCATAAGATATACTTTTCTTACTTCTCTGCTCATCTCATAGATGAACTGTTAAAGCCAGCACTCTGTAGAACATTGTGTGATGTACAGTACTTGTCTCACAGTGAATTCATTACTGTCAGATTGAGGTTGCAGTCTGTGTTTTCCATCACTTCACATCACTTGCAATGGGTGTGAATGGGTGAGTGATGACATGTAGTGTTAAAGTGTTTTGAGTGGTCGGAAGACAAGCGAGGTGCTAAACAAGTACAGTCCATGTACCATCCACCATAACAGTAGTGTTAGTATAATGGGACCTACCCCAGGTTTTAGTTGAGCTGTGAGTCAGCAACAGTGGACTGCCACTACCAACTCTGTCTTCATTTGAACAGGCTAGCTGAAACCAGAGGTTGGAGTCGCTGTATTCCATAGCCAGATATGTGGCTACAGATGTAAATCAAGTGTGTCGGTCAGTGCAGTCAGATGGATCCAGAACTGGGGAACAGCCAATGAGTGGAACGGAAAAGGATCAATCCCAGTAAGACGTCATGCTCTCAGTAAAGGGACTTCAGTATGTTACTGTGTATTTAATAGAGAGCTTCCCGCATGATTAAAGAGTTGTGTCTGATTCTCTGTTCTTCTAGTCGTGTTTCAATCATAAATGGTGCAACAGTTCATTTATCAACAAAGAAGTTGGCATTATAAGTATAGGAAAAACAATACTTTATTATTATATTTCATGACAATAAATACAGATAAAATGTTTTTGGACATTTGCTCTCTTTCTTATTCCCATACTATGTTGCCACCGTTGTATTGAAACAGTTCGCATAAAGTTTATTCTGTTCAGCATAACGCCCAGCAGAATAAACTTGGGTAAATATTTTGGCGTTTGCTTAATAAGTGCTAACTCTATTGCTAAATGAAGTGAGTTATTCCTTTGATTCAACAGCTCATTAAGCAAAGAACCTGTGATTGTAATTCAAAACAATGTGTTGCAATCAACAACAAACACAAGCAGAGTTTGTGTTTCTGTACAAATAATCCTCTCACAGCAAAGTGTCTTTGAAGCAGTCCAACATATTGAGATGAGTTGCTTTCATTGCATGAGCAGGCTTTTCTCTCGTATGCTGGGAGGTTTAGTGACCGGGACTAGATTTTGGCAGGAGAAGTTGACCTATGAATGGGTTTGGCTGGTAGGATGGTGTAATCATTATCAGTGGAGCTGGGCTCAGACGGTGGGGTCCATTCACATAATAAGTCCCACTATTGCTGAAAGTATCTGTGTGAATGTGATTCACTTATAATAATCTAAACAACTGCTAAGGACCCCATGAAATGGCACAAATACTTTGTTTTAGATATTTATTGTTTACAATGTCTGAGATATTTTGTAAAGAAGCAATTCTCAACTCCATGAGAAACCTTCAATGCATTGTTCTGGTGATAGAGTTGGAAGATAAAACTTTATGGTCCCAGTCAAAGCACTCAAAAAGTATGCAACTCAACTGTGTACTACTTACTCTGTACTTCTACCTCAGGAGAAAATATTGTAGTACATTTACCTGAATGTTACTGATTACTCACAGATTCAGATTTAACTCACAAAATATAACAATTCAAATATGATGCTATATTATTCATTTAACTGTCCAGCATCTTATTAGAATGTAAAGCTCCACCTTGAACAGATACCTGTGCTCATAACGTCTCTCCTTCACTCTTAACTTGAAGTAAACATTTGAATGCAGGACTTTCACTGTGAAGTATTAATAGTTTTACTTTAGAAACAAACTTTTACCACTCCACATCCCAACATTTCCTGATAAAGAAATGAAAAGCAAAGCAAGGCAGCATTTGTCTGGGGCTCCAAATCTCTAGATCTGCCCCTGAAAACAACAGGCAGCTTGGGGCTACTCACGATCACAAACATCAGTGAAATACACTTAGCGGAGGTCATTTCCAAACAGGCTAATTGGTTGCTTGCTTTGAAATAACCACCTTGGTTATGAAGTAGAGCATGGATTTAATGAGTGGAGGTATTTTGAGTTAGTGTGTCAAAAACTTTCACTATTTGAGTTGTAATATCAGAGTAGCTCTGTTCCTGTAGATCTGCCTGTTGACTGCAGGGAAGTGAAGAAAAGTTTGGTTGTAACATTATCCAGCATTCGTTTAGCGTTAAAGTATTATAAACTAGCTAAAATACAGACGAATAAATCTCCACGTTATCTTAACCTGAAGCCTCTTTAGTCAGCTGAACGTGTAAAGGAACACAACGGTGGCTCCGACAGATCACTCATGCTGTTCTCTTAGTAGCTTGTTGGCCTCAGTCGATTCATTCTCGCTTCACATTTACTGACTCTTTCATGAGCTGCTTGGCAACCAGCGGATCAGCACCTTCCAACCATATTGGTACAGTTAGCCATTGTAACCGGACTCTTCTCTCTATCACTCTGTGATTCACTCATGGCCACATTGTTCACTGCTGTAGCTCCCTCCACCTTTTTATTGAACTGAAATCAAATGTTCATGTATGTGTTCATTAAGAGGAGATAATGAACAACAAAACAATGAACAACAAAAACTATTTTTTTCACTTTTTCAATTTAACAAAAAGAAGCCGAAGTTCTAAAATGTTACAGCATTTGCTGCCAAATCTAACAAATGGACAACCATCTGCTATGAGGGTCACTTCCTTGACCTTTGTCTACAGGCAAGCATACAATTCAACATATGAAGAATAAAGTTTGCAATAATAAATGAATGAGTATAAATGTGGCTAAAAATGTTCTGAACAGTTTCAAATCCATGTCTCTATTTTTCCAATAATACCAAATGACATAGTCATAGGAAATGATGGTTCCTTTTGTCTTTAAGTCAAGGTTTTGTTTTTTTTTTTAATGTTTTTGGTTAGATGGTTGAAATAAGGTGTGTAGGACAGAAAAGGCCTGTAAAACAAAGTGTGGAATCCTTTGACACTGGGTCATGTAGCTCTCCCTCAACTCATCAACAGTAACGTGTCTTTCAGAGCTGTTGGAGAGAAGTCGCAGGAAAGAGGAGGAAATGAGGAGCCTTCAGGTTAGCATGTTATATCTTCATCCATCCTTATCTGTTTGTTCATGTGTAGAGCTTTTTTAATATCCAGCTGGTCTTATTTTGCCAAAAAGAGACAGCTGGTACGATTTTTATTTATACCCCACATCTACTTCAAATTCTTCTTTGCTTATCTGAGTCCTGTGATGTGGTGCACAGCCGTGGGCCTGACAGACTGCTTGCAGCCTTGCTTGGACAAGTAGCTAATTACTGCAGACACGAGGCCTTGGTGTTTAAAAGCCGCCAGAGGCCTTGTCTCTGTCTCTCAGTACAGCAGCATCTACACTTGGCAGGCCACCAACTCACCTAGTCTGGATTGAACTGGCCCCCAGTGCCTCACCGACCCTTTACTCGCCATTAAACAGCCAAACTCAAACACACACTAAAATGTCTGCTAAGCATTTTTGTGTGTGTGGGTGTGTGTTGGATTCCGGGGTCCCATCTGTGGCTGCATGATGGCACCTGCCAGAGCTCGCATGCAATTAATCAGCCCTCTCAGACCCAGCCAAGCTTTTAATTATGAAGGATGAAGAGAGAGAGATGTACAGAGGTAAGACAGAGTGAGGGATGCTGACGAGTTAAAAAAATCTAAAATTGTTGACGGGTGGGCTGAGGGAAAGAAAGTAGCCTTGTTACTAACCATCAACACATTACAGGCAGAGGGGTAGAGCAGGTGTGTGTTTGAGTGGCAGATAAGAGGCATAGCATCACTTATGCATCATTAGAGAGGGAAGATCAGTCAGGAGCTGGATGAGTGGTGAGAGCGGTGTGTGTCTGTGTGAGTGTGTGTGTGATAAGGAGCTTGTTGTGTGCTACAGACTCTTCGGAGACCCTGTATTTTCCTTCCTTGTTGGCACACTCTATTTCTCTCTGCTAATCTACCGTTATGAGCAGTTATCTGGAGTCATTTGGTTAGGTTCAACATTACTTTGGAATTGGTTCTTAAGGTTTCTATGCATATAAAGCAACATTGCTGTGTTTGTGTGTCTTTTCAGGACCGTGTATTGGATCTGGAGATGGTAAGGTTTTATTTCTCTAATCAAAGTGATGAAAACAGTTGTATGTAAATTCAGGTTTAGAAAAGGTGGAGGAATGAGATGCCCTGGAGTTGTTAGAATAGAAGTTGTGCTGACTCTCAGTATGATTCGATGCTGCTGTGTCGGCTCTGTTTGTTTAGCAAACCCATAGAGGCTGACCCTGGGTTAGAAATGATTGCTTTAGTCAAGGCTCACAGCTCTGTTAATCATCATAAGTCTTGTTGATGGGGTTAAGAACCGAGCTGTACTGACAATACAGTATTGACATCATCATCCAAGCTGCTGTTGGTCACCACTAACGTCCTTAATCAGCTATTACACGTTACCCCAAATTACTTAGTGCCGCTGAACGGTTATATTGACCCAAGCTCTTCTTACCCCGTTGAAAAAATAAATAAGTAAAACTGTCCATTCATCACAATTATGTGGCACGCTTGGCCAACCTCCAATTAGCTGTTGTGAGAAAGAAGAGGAAAGGGCTCGGACTACTATCTGCTCCCAGCACAGCGGCAGGATGCATCGGTGGTGGGGATAGACCAGCGAGCCTCACTCGTACGTCAGTGCAGCATCAGCGGGACGCCTTGTAACTACCACTTCTTTTGATGCTTAAATGCTCCATCTGAATGGGAAGGCCATTGAAAGATGCGGTGGAGGGATGAATAGAATGGAGTGGAGCTGGAGTAGGTACTTAATCTTCATTAAAGATTGAGTGTGTTGTAACAAAGTCCTCAATTAGCTTTTGACACTATGACATGTCTGTTACTATGCAGTTTGAATAGGGAATGTGTCGGCAGCTTCCTGTAGCCACGTGGTTAAGGCCGATACTATAAGGTCGGCAGGCCTTTTTAATCCATCATACCTTTACAGCATAAACCACTTTTCCACCATTAATCCATGTCCTCAGTATTTTACAATCAATCTGCAATTCATCAATACATCGCTAAATACGCTACCTCTGGAAGAGCTTCAGAGGTAGGGGGAGGCAACGTGACACGCAAGCGTTGAATTAAAGGTGCCATGGGGAGTTATTTTCACACTGAATCGCATTGTTTGTATCCTTGAGGTTTAATAAATGTGTTTAGTTTCCTTCCTTGTTAAACATTTGCAAAGCATTTTTTTTCATATATTTCCAATTGTGCATTATTTACATACATTTTGTTTATATTACCATCACAAACTACTGGAGAGTGAGACAACATTGGCACATTTTACAGAAACATTGCTCCATAGCGTCACTAGTAGTGGATAAGAATGTTGTGGCTCAACATGATACCTTTAAAGTGCTGTAGATAAACTATGAGTGTTTGGAACATACAGAAAAACACAACTTATAAATATATTATCAATGACTTTGGTTTGCTTTTTGACAATAATGGCATCTTGTCAACATATTGCATTGAGTTCTACCAACATTGTAGATTGTGTGTTGAAGTGTTTAAGCATAATATATTATTAAGTAATATATTTACAAATGCACTTGATCCATACACCGTCTAAATGCAGGTTTGTTGTGCATGTGTGAATACTTATCATACAGTTTATTTTAAAGGAAGAATATATGCTCATGACACAAATGATTCATCAGCTGTGCACCCTTGTTCTTTGGGTAGTTCATCCCATTATCTCTGCAAATACAAAGGCATCAGTAACGTGCAGTTAAAGCCCACGGACAGCTGATCCAGCTGTGCAGCCGTCATCAGTAATCATTGCTTCAGGTGACCCTTGACTGGGATGGACTTCTCATTTCACTTTCATCATTCCCTCAGTCTGAAGTGAGAAGTAGTGAGGAAGAGGAAAAGACACGTGAGGGAAAGGGAGAGACGATTAAGGGAATTGTGATGTCGCCCCAGTATTAACCTGTGGATAATTCTCCATTTGCTCTTTTGTTGTTGCATCCTAATGCTTTCAGCTTGCCCCTTAAATGGTAATTGATGGTAATTGTGTTTGCTGTTTTTCCTTGATTTCTTTGTTTGATGAATACAATTATTACACTAAAACAGTATCTGTGGGCTCAATGCTGTGAGCTACAGTCTCCTGCATATCCTCCTGATTTCAGTCTCCTGGTTTCTTTGAACCTCATTCAAAGAATCTCTTGAAATATGTTTTATGGTTTCAGCACAATGCAGATGTTGTATTGATTCTCCGTTAAATCTCTTTGCTGTTAGTCATGTTTGTAGTTGTGTGGATTGAAATGGCCGGAGTTAAATGACTTAATATGAATGTCAGACAATGCAAACGAATATGGTGATGTAAATGAACTGATTTGATGTGTGTGCTTTCCAGAACACCAGAGTAGCCCTGGACCACTTGGACTCAATTCCAGAGAAACAATGTCTGATGGAGAACTTCAAAGATTTGGAGGTGGGTCCAGTTAAAGCCTAGATTACTTTTCTCTGGAATAAAATGTTGTTTTTTTTCCCTTGAATTACCAAACTTGGGTGCAGCGAAACTTCAACTTCAGTTTAATTGAAGTCCACATTACCCAGAGAGTCTCTCTCTGACTCTACAAGTCAGTGAACAACAGAAAATTCAAAGAATAACTTTAAAACCAAAGATTCTTCTTCTTTTCGTTTCACTGAAGCGTGGTGGTTATATGACAGTTTCCCATTTCTTTACACAGTCCTTTGCATTGTTATTGAACACTGCAAGGTCTTTTGAGTTGCAAGGGTTGCGTAGTGGAGGGCAGACAAGGCAGTGCTCCATAGTATGGTCTGCTTCTCCACAGTCACAGGTGGTTGGGCCAGCCTTGTAGCCCCATCTGACCAGAGCAGCTGTTGATCGTCCCGTTCTCGTTCTGAGGCAGTTTAGTGTTTTCCATTGAGCCCATGGTGCTTCTGGGCCAGGGGGAAGGTTTTCAGTGGGGGGTATTCCCATGACAGTTGGAGGAGGGTCATTCTCAAGCTTTTCCCTCCAGAGTTGGATTCTGGTTTCTTCCCGAGACTTTGTTCGGGGCTGGACATGGCTGAGAAAGCTTCTTCTTGACTTTAGCTGTTGGGCCGGGGGGGTGACATCCATGGAGGAGATGGCGTTCATCACTAGTAGATTTTGATTTCTCGACCAAAGATCATACAGTATAACGTAATAGGACTGGAGTAGGTTGCTTACTTGTCAACAAGGTAAAACATCCTGGATTTGCAAGTATCTGCAGAACTCGGCAAAGACTTGACCACCAAGAGTTCAAGGAATGGTTAACGGTGCTCAATACTAAATTCAGGGCATATATTTGGACGACCGTAGCTCACTGGGTTAAGAGGGTTGTCTGCTAACCGCAAGGTCAACGGTTTGATCCTCCACTGGGACGTGTCACGTGTCGAAGTGTACCTGAGCAACTGAACCCCTAATGGCTCCCCGGCTATATACAGGGATGGGTCAAATGCAGAGACAAATTTCCCCCTTAACGGGATCAATATAGTATAATAAATTAAAAATAAATATTGCGACCACTGAGCTAACAGTGCTGACACAATGTTTACCGGAGGGGGATGTAAAGGGAGACAGACTTCATTCTCTGCTCAGGTAGACCACGTAGTGGAGGATCAGAGTTCATTGCAACTAAAATGTTGTCATTAGTTACTTTAATCTGTGCAGTTTCAGTAGCGTTTGGGTCTGAAACCAAACTGAAGCTCATCAAGAAGGTCATAACTGGATAGAGGGGCAGTGAGCTGGCTGGCAACCCTGTTTTCTAACAGTTTGGACGTGAAAGAATGAAGAGACTGTAAATTAGCACCACGCAGAAAACACTGCTCCAATGAATCAATGCTATTCTTCTTCTGCTAAGACTATTGACAAGCTCCGGCTTTTGTCCCTCTGGCCTGGTTAAAAGACAGCTGTGTCTGTTGTGCGGGTGGTTATGGTGACACAGCCTCCATCTTGTGCCAACAGGAGTCACAGCAGCAGAGAGAGATGGTAGAGCAGCGCTACACCAAATACAAAGAGATCGTCTGGGACCTACAGCACCAGCTGGACGAGTCCAAACGCAGAATCCAGGAGTACAGAGTACGACTAACACACACAGATGTGCTTCATAATGCCTTTCAAGAGCCTGACAACAACCCACACCTTTTCTATTTCAGTCACTAATTGCCATGCTTTGTTCAAACAGCAGCCGTTTGGATCAGGATATCCTGACTTTGAGTCATTTATGAGTCTAGCTCGCCCACACCACAGCCGATGTGTGCAAAGCACCTCATTTGCAACTTGTGTGAATAACTGAATAATTCCACATGCTGGTAATGTATCATGGATGGACAGAGTGGGAAAGCTCAAGCAATGGCACAAATGTACGCTTAAACAACACCTGAATGTTACCCATCTCTGTTAATAGCTGCAGTCCTCTTCTGTGCTATGAAGCAGTCATGGGAGCCATCAAGACATCACTGTTGACAGCTGATTGCCATCAGCCATTTGCAGCCTCCCCCAAACAGCCATACCGTCACTTTTTAAATGGTTTTAATCTGCCAGATTACCCCCTTGGTTTGCCAAATGACTCCTGTGTTGAGTGATAAGTGGCGATTACATTAGCGTAATAGCTGCTGCACACCCGGGGTTTGTTTAAGGAAAAGGGATGATCACAGTCAGCAATGCCAACAACAAGCCGCTTCGACATTGAATGTAAAAGTGCGTCTCTGCTTGAACCACTAGTATTCAGACAGGCTCAGTGTTTGTCCTGTCATTACAGGACATCTGTAATATTAATGATTCATAAACACCGGATAAATGGAATCTGTAATATGTGTCAAACTTGAAGAGACACCAGTGACTTGACGGGCCTTGCAACAGAATCCCAAAGTATAAAGAGATGTCTGCTCAGGCTGGCACGCTTGTGCCACCATGTTTACAGGCAAATAAATGTCTGTAGAAGAAGCTTTTATCATACACAGGCCCACACCTTTCATAGAGGGACTCGCACCGCTCTCTTCCCAAACAGAATATTTTATCATTATGTAGAGCTCTTGGGATGCAAAAGAAAGCATCCAAATCTGGCCCACAACTCTCATCTTAAGCTGCTTTGAGCATTATACAGAGCTGTTCACATTTATGGTTGTACTATGTGTAGTTTTACATTGTGAAATGTGCCCATGGCCAAAGGGATGTGGCTTCACCCTCAGTTAGTCTGTCACTAACACTTTGGACCAACAGACAGATATAATATCTCCATTATTGGATGGATTGTTAATAGATTGTGGCGCAGACACTAATGTTCATTCAGTATGTTGAATCATTGCATCTTCACATCATGACTTAAATGCTAGCACACAAGTGAAGATGGTAATTGCCAGTATTACTAATTACATAATGAATGCATAATATGTGCGGGTAAACAAGACTAAAGTAGACAGGCGAGTGTTTGACCCACGTTGGAAAAGGAACCTCTGAGACTTGGTGTAGCAGCCGTGGTGTCTGCGCACAGTTTGCGCCACTTCATCTCGTAGATGTGGAGATGTTTGATTTTCAGAGGATCACCAAAGTCTTTAGGCATGAACACTTCATGGCAAAGCACCCAATGATTGTTGAGATGGACGAGTACATGATGAGTCTGTTGTCCTGACTTGTTTGGGTCCAAGTGTATGTCCTCAGACTATACGTTATACATTACATCACAGTGCTGCTAGCATGGCTGTAGACCCTCACTGTGTCAGTGACCGTGTCCTCCTGTCTTCCAGGACGAGAAGCTGGACTCCACTTCCAGGAGCCTGAGACTGGCCGCTGTTTCTTCCTCCGTCAGAGAGCCCAGCATGTTCCTGAGCAGCTCGCTGAGATCTGACACACTATGTGAGCATTTATACACTGCTGCTACAAACCCTGTGCTGTGCCAGCTCGTCTAATGGCTGTTTTGGTACTCAATCTCTGTGTTGCTAGATCATTTGAAAACGTACAACAGTATTTGTTAAATGGTTTATCATAAGTCTGCACAATGATGGCTAGAATGACAATCCAGGTCACTGCTGCATCCCACAGTACAGTACATCATTATGTAGCTGTGTGATGTACGCATGATGCTGTAAGACACTGTGGCCGTCTTACAGCACTCTCACTTCTCCATTCAGTATTTCAACATGGCACACAGTGCTCAAACTTTCCATCAGCGCTCTGAGAGTGCGTCTGTCTGTATCACTGCCCGTGGCTCTCAGCCAAAATCACTTGTAGCGCTTTCCTAAGCTGCTTACAGATATCTGGCTCAGTGTGAGAGGAGCGTACTTTCTGTGGCTTTGTGTCTCTTTTACCTCCAGGAAGTGTGCTGGCCAAAGTAGATCTATGGCTACTTAACACTGGTATACAATGTAATTATCACATGTATTCAGGACTACTTGGGCAGTGACAGGAATCATTGAGGGCCCACGTGTATTGGACTAGATCCATTAACAATCAACGGGGATACGTACTCCCGCATTGTGGGCTGTGACTGGCTGAGAAACAGGGACGGGGAATATAACTGCTTTTGTTTTGCGTCTGATCCACAGCTCCTCACAAACGACTGACCAGTTCAGACTTGGATGACTCCCCAGTCTACGGGGCCAGACCCCTCACAGATTAGCTCCACTCCAGTGAGCCTTCATCCATCTTTGATTCTACCTGCTGCTCATGCAGAACAAAGAAACAACTTGACTGTACTAGGAAGCTTTGCACTCAACACTAATCCTCCTCTACCTCAACCGGGCAATCACTGAAGGTGCTCAAAAGCAGAGGAGTAAGACAGGTTTCACCTCCACCTTTCTGGACTTTGTGGAGTTTGGACACTGTAAAGGAGAAAATACTGTAAAGTGTTTAGATGTTATTTAAGAACCTGAATTGAATGTATTTAATGGATTTGAAAAAATATTTATACCAAAATAGTTTTACGGTTTTATTTGTTAACAGCTGTTTAAAATATTGTTTAGTGTATTATTATCATGCCAATGCCAAGTTTGTGCTAAAATGTTTACTCCACTCAAACAACACTGGTGCCTTTCAAAACATGTACTTTTGTTTTTTACTGACATCATGAAAATGAATATCTGTTTTTACATCTCTTTTAATGTATTCACCGATTTGCGTTATGGCTTTATATTTTTTGTTTCATGCAGTTTGTAAAAAAAGACTCAATAAGCACAAATAGAAGTCTATCCTTTTAATGTGAAGGAAGTATATGCACTGTGAGTGAATCCCCATGCGGCCAAATGTCTGGTTCTATAAGCAGCGCACACTTGATGTCTCCTTCATTCCAGAGCTAAGTGTTTGCTTTGCAGCAGCTGAGATTCCAGCTTCTCCCACTGGCACATCTTCTGCTGTTTGCTAAAATCCTTCATCGGAGGGAACAACCAAAAGCCACATGAGAGAGGAGCGTCTTCTCTTAAGGCGCTGCTCCACTTCAAAGACGTAAACGCATGCAGTAACTGCTGTGTAAACACTTCTCAGTTAAATCATCTCGTTGGAGCCGTATGTTCCGAGACTTCGTGCAGTACTTTGGAAAGGTGTGTCGTTAAAATGGCAAATAAAAGTCATTTGATTGTTGATGGCCACACAAGTTTGTCTTCTGTACAGTATGTTACTCTGTAGCACAAATATATAAATGGACAGCATTGTGGTAATGCATGTCAGTGTGATGTGAGGAGGGAGGAGTCCTGATGGCTAACGGATTAAAGCTGCTTGTGAAGCCATGCAAGGTGCTACCTGCCCATCAGCACTATCTAACATTCACACACTGCAGGCACAGCCTGCGGGAGTTATTTGGGGTTAAGTGTCTTGCCCGAGGACACATCGACATGGGCTAGAGCCTGCCAATCGAAGGACGACCTGCTCTACCACTGAGCCACAGTCGCTGTAGCACCTCCCTGAGGAAAGGAGCTGCAGGAGGACATGAGGGATCGGAGGGCAGGTGGAATGGGGTTTTCAGGCCTTGCATAAAACTTAAATTAACTTTATGCATTTGCATAGCGCCTTTCTTGTCGTCCGACCACTCAAACCGCTACATGACCACATGCATCCATTCACACATTTTTACACTAATGTGAAGAAAAGCTGAGATGACACCTACCCCTCAGGATCATAACTAATAATAATAATAATCATTCACACACATTTTTACACTAATGTGAAGAAAAGCTGAGATGACACCTACCCCTCAGGATCATAACTAATAATAATAATCATTCACACACCGATGGCACAGACTGCAGGAGCTCTTTGGGGTTCTGTATCTCAACATGCGTACTGGAGGAGCCGGGGATCGGCCTGCCGACCATGTGAATAATGGATGACCCGCCCTCCTCTGAGCCTCAGGGAGCAGCGGTGTTATAAATGTCCTAAAGGTCACAGTATAGGATGTCATTAAATCTCTTTGGTCGTGTGTTCTTCCCATTTCTCCGGAATAGTGCATCTGGTCTTCACGCTTGGTGGGTGTGTTGTTGTGGAGCCAAGGGAGTGCTTTTTCAAATTTGGTAAAATATGGATATGCAACACTTTCAATATTAATAAATGTTGGATAAACAAGCCAAGCAGCAGGGGTGTATGAATCCGTATGTAGTGCATACTGCGTATTAAATGAAGTATGATGTTACCAACAGACATCACACTGAGGCTTCAGCACCTGTAGCAACTCACATCTCTGAAAACTGTCACAGCAGATCTGGGTATTTATTTGGATAAACTGAGTACATATTGGGAATCAAATTGGTGACTGTCTCACATGAAAACATAAAAACTTAACAGAGAGACATTAATAGAACTAAAAACTATTTGTGACGTAAACTATAAACTACTAATCTTAAAGCTGTTAATACTTCACAGTGATGAGTGAAGGAGGCGTGATCAGCACAATGTACTTATGTTTACTTAACTGTTCTAATATGATGCTAGATAGTTTAATGAATAACAATTCATCATGTTTTGACTCCTCTCTCAGGTAAATGAACTACCATGTTTTCCTCTGAAGTAGAAGTACACAGTAAGTACTACACAAGTTATGTCAGGGTACAATGAGTAAGAATTAACATAACAGTCTTTTTCACATCTAAACATAATAAATCTACAGCTGCCTGGGGCCCTTGTTGCGTTTGCACTAAGTGCAATTTGCCCCAGAGGGCTTAGTGGGATGACAGGAATGTGTTTTGCCTAATGGTAAAGTATAGTATGGTAATAAAAGTCAGAGTATATTTGTATAGTATGTGATTAAAAAGTCACAGTATAGTATAGTATGTCATATGAATATCATGTCATAGTATCACGTCATAAACAACTTGACAAAGTCTTTATATTAGTACTGTATGTCAGAACGAAGTCATAAACAAGTCATTGTATAGTTTGTCTTTACATTTCAAATACAATTCATAGTATGCAATTGATTTAGTATCCTAAAGATGGTCTTTGATTTAACATTAGTATCATATATTGTCAACTTTCTTTTTTTCCAAATGTAATGCAGTATCATTTAGTAAGAGTACATTTCAGCCAAACTACTTTTTACTTTTACATGAGAAAATGTTTAGACAAGTACTTTACTGTGACATGAGTTCAAGCTCTTTTAACTTACAGTATTCTGCTATCCTGTCCTCCTCAGAGGGACAGCTCAGTGTGGGAGTGTTTGTTCGACAGTATGAGGGAGGACAGATTACATCACACTAAATAAAATACAGAAGAAGACAAGAGACCTAAACTTGATGAAGATATGTCCTAAAACCAAGTAGAAACTCTGACTTCGAAAATTGTATTTTTTCTAGTAGGAGGTAGCAATTTCTTGGGAGCTCCGAGTTGTCTGGAACACCGCATAAGATCTGTGGCTGTTACAAGCTGAAGACATTTTGATCCACGACATATATCCTGATGAGTTTAGAGGCCTTATTACCTATTTGAGTAATTTCAGTGAACCTCACTGGAATCATGTGTGAGCAGCATGGTGCTTTTAAATCTGAAACAAGACATGCAGGTATCAATTCATGAAGCTAAGCTTCCTAAAAGGAAAACTGATTCATACACTTTTACTAAATCCAAGCTTGTGGGGTTTTTGGAGCTTTGCATATGCCAGTTGTACAAAACAAATCCTTTGAAAGCTCCTGCAGGTGTCTTTTGTACAAAGACAAGAAAGAAAAGAAGAAAGAAAAACTAAGCCATGTCTTCCTCTTTAAGAAAATACAAAGTTTATGTGAGTTTTGTCATTTCTGAACAGTAATTTACTGCCTCATCCTCTGCAGAAACACTGGAATCTCCGTTGTTACTTATTTAACATATCAAATCGTAATTTATTGATGTGTGCATTGGAATGTATTTGTGAATCGTTCTGTGTGCATTTGTGAGTCTTTCTGTGTGCATTTGTGAGTCTTTCTGTGTGCATTTGCAATTATTGAGACTGATCTGACCCCATAGATCTGACCCCATAGATCTGACCCCATACAACCAAGCTTAGAGCAAAGATGAGCTGCGGAGCTGTACCAAGCCGTCACTCGACCCCCGTTTCCCCTTTTAACTTCTAAGTACATTTGGAAAGCCAAGGTCCAGAGAAAATTCTCCGACTGCACTTGTGGTGTGGTGTCTCCCTAAATGTGCTGTACATTTGACATGTATCCATTGTACATCCATTGTGTCATCTACCACAGTGTGGTAGGTGCTTCAGTCAGGGGTTCAGCACTAATCACATAGTCCAGACAGTCTCACAGATACCTGGAGAGACTTGAAGTGTTCGGCTTTATTGAGCAGGGGCACTTTCAGGAATAATATCTGTTCAGGGCTCAAACCTGTGCTCAAATTTCAGTTTGAAGATAATGAGCAATCTCAGAGTTTTGCTTTTTTGCCCCCTCATTCAGCATAGTATTGGTATCTTCACATTTGGCTAAGTAAATCACATTTGGTAAGTTTAGTCACACTTAGAGACAACCCTGCTCCCTGATGTGCTTCTTTATCCTGTAACTCCGTCCTCAGGAAGCCGTCTGCTTATCTAAGCTATATTAGGTTGCAAAACACATGCAGACTCGTGGATCAGTTCTGCTGCTCCCAGCAGACTGGTTCCCATTTACATTCTGCCCCATCATTAGTCCAGCTTTACTCCACTTTGTCAGGTTGAGAGAAATGAATTCACAGCTTTCCACACGTTTGTGTTTATGTGTGTGATCCCACAGAAGAAAATACAGCCTCTACATGAAAATGAAGATGTTTGTAATCTGAATTTCACATGCGTGACAACTTTAACACACATCGGTGTGAGCCAGTCAGAATAAACTGCAGTATGACCGTCGAAGTTATTCTAAGAGTCAGTAGTATTCAGATGTATTCAGAAGAACTGAGACGGCCTCTCTCTCTGTTTGTATAAATGCATTAGGTGACGCATGTTCAGAGCTGACAGTCAACACACAAACACATTCAGACACACCAACATCCTTTCTCATGTATTGTTCCACAGCTATTATGAGGCAACTACAGAAGATTTGAAACATTGCCTACCTTCTGCTCAGCTGTGCCCTCAGTGTCTCTCGGCTCAACTTTCCACCCGTGCACCTCTGGTGTCCCTCTGGTGTCCCTCTGGTGTCCCTCTGGTGTCCCTCTGGTGTGTCGCATCAGTGGCTCATTACGAGTCAGACAGCTCCCATGTGTTGGCTTCAGTTGTGACCCTCCAATCTGTTCCATGATCCACCAAACATGACGACTGTTCTAGTGTACAGATACAGATGAAACCTCCTGAGTTACATGGTCAGCTCCTGGGGGATGACTTCCCTGATCACCAGCCATCCAATGATTTGACTTTGACTCCTTATTTGTCTTTGCGGTGAGCATCAATCACTATGACAACTAAGCCACTCCATTAAAATGTTGCTTAGCCTCCCAAATCAAATTTCATTTCTCCCCCATTGTATTGGAGGTGCAGCAGAAATCTCTGATGAATATCTTCAAACAAATCAAACTAAAACTATGCAGCTAGATTGCAACAGGAGGAAGTGAAACTATAGTGATTTATGGAACTAACATTCAGTGAAGACCTGGAGGTACAACTGTGCTTATTGGTTTCATATCTTATCATGTATTGTTGCTTCCCTGGTTTAGATTCGATATTAATAATCAACTTGAGTATCTTTTACCCACAGGATCATACAACAGCTGCAACTATTCAGGATCTAATCGCTCCAGGGCACGAGGCAGGATGTTTAATATGCGGTGACAGTGGAGAAGCACCTGAGCCATTACTACCCCCCCCTCCACACACACACAGACACACACACCTACACACACACACACACCTACACTTACACACACACACCTACACTTACACACACACACACACACACCTACACACACACACACCTACACTTACACACACACACACACACACACACACGCACACACACAAAAACACACACACACACACACACACACACACATAATGATACTGTATATACAGTATATTCCCCTCTCCTCAGGAATACTGTGATTCCTAAAGTCAAGGCTCATTTCATATCACCTCACTAAATGGCCATTAGTAAACACAGCAGACCCTTGGTGTTGCCTCGGCCTCTCTCAGCCAATCACAGGGCGATGGGTGGTGGCCCCTGCCTCTCACTGCTCCTCTAGTGCTGGCGTAAGCCTCTGCAGCAGCCACCGAGGCTGATTCCCATTAGAACAAACCTATTTGGCTTGCATTACAAACCCATTCAATCAGGCAGCCAGGCTCTGCTTTTTCGTTTAAGCCCGGAGGCTGAGAGTGTATCCAGCCGCCGCTGTTCAATAAGTGAATGGG